TTGAGGCAGGGCTATGGCAGTTTCTGGATCATCGCATCTCATCACTCTGTCACGGCTGTCATACTTCAGGGGTGAGGATCCCACGCATGCCAGTGCTGGAGCACGGCTGCGCTGCCTAAATTGTGGGAACCCATGAAGTACTCTGAAGCACTATGACATCTCATGATATCTCCACATTCAAATCAACAATATTCAATGCGTTTCAATGCATTTCAATGCGCTCCTAAATCAAATGCTGTCTTCAGTTTGTGTTTTCATTCAGCTATGAACTGAGGAGCAAGTCCGAACCCCCACCTTGAACAGCTCAAAGCAACCATTGGCGTGTCCAGCTATCTTGATGTTCAAAATGGCTCCGACTCCGACTACACTGCTACAAGATGCTACAAGCCCTGTACTCTGTGAAAATGCACTGCCTGAACTTTGACAGCCACGTCAATTGCAAAGCGACTCTGCTGTGAGACTATTCCGGTCTCATTCCGGTCTCGAGAAAAGAAGATTCTTGTGGTCTGAGCAAGCCAGTTGTTCCATTAGCTACACATTCGAGCTGTGATATTTAAGTAAGGGACATGTTAACGTTGTGACTGGATCCTTTCTTTGTTTCTGCGCGAAAACTCTTTCGAACTCATGTGCACTCCCAGGCCGGGAGTTGGCTTTTTTATTTGAGTTCGATGTCTAATTTGAACGTCCCCAGATCCGGTTTTATCATTTTATCTATATACGTCAATTAAATCCACCTTGTGCACATGCACATCCAGCAATAGACATGATTACACAAACACACACACACACACGAAACTCTCCTATGCATGCATCTCGTATTGACTGCGGGAACAGGGAGCAGTACCTTATGAGGAGTCCACAACGCCTGTAGGGTAATATCTTGCATGTATTTTGAATTATTTTGATACACTTTGAAGATCTTTGAAGTATACTGTCAATTTCCATCAATTTCCTTTGCAGTAGCAGACTCTGGCTTCCTTTCCCGCAAGGCACCTTGTAGTATGCTCCGGCATTGGCATCTTGCTGCATGTTCCGGACCCTTCTCAGGGCGATACCAACCTGCTGGTTCAGAACAAAGGAGAAGGAAAAAAGCAAGACAGACAGTCACACGGGTCCATGGAATGCAAACGCAACCATCCGCAATTTCCATAAAGTTGCAATTGGCTTGAACTTCAACTGAATAGAATAGCGAAGCTACTTGAAGCTACCCAGGATTTTGAACTGATCCATTGCTAGTCCCAACTATGCCAGGCTGGCTGTGGGCAAGTAGGAACGGAAGCTTGCGCGGTCCAATGGGCGCCCATGCTTCACCGTTTCCATGTGAGCCCCAAAGAGGAGATTGTGCACCTGTGCCGCGAAAAGAAAGCACAATTAAAGCACACTGAATCAAACGCTGAAAGCAAATACTCAAAGCAAACGCGTGTTGATTTATGCGCAATTCATCAAAGCTCATGCATTCTCAATTCCTGCATATCCTTTCCACAGAAAGGTTTCATAACAGAACCGGTCACAAAAAGTAAGGGCAAGATGATATGTACCGGTAGCGATAAGACCGCAGGAACTATCAACAGAGTTATCTCCGGCGTTCATGTCTTGTACGAAGAAGGAGCCCGTAATGTTCACCGGCGTCAATCTTCACCAATCTGATGAAAAAAACTGAACAAGTTGAAAACATGCTCGCAGGTCTGCAATTGAAAAATACAGTTTGCATCAGTTTGCTCTATTTGAGATTTCACAGAGGAAAGATAAACATGAAAACCATCTTGGACAAGGCAATGATGGCCCAGTTCATCAGAAAACAAAATGCACATGGATGCTCAGACCTGGGAGGAACATGGAGGAACCATGAATATTCATGGATTCGGGGCACTTTCAGCAAAGCTTGCATATAAGCTCTCGAATATGCGGAGAAAGCAATGGACATCACCCAATCTGCAGCGGGCAGTAATGTATATGCGTCAACATATACCACAATATCACCGCATATGCAACTTATCGAACAAAACAAAAGGGTCAGAACATGGAACGAATACGGCTGCGAGCATGTACACACGTGCCCTATCTGTTTCTATCATATATACAAATAAGTATTATATATATACACATACTTTATTTGAAACAACTTGAGACTGTTTCCCACACTTCCCTTGCGGTGCGTTTGAAATACAGTACATGACTCATTTCAACTTGTCAGGTTTACGCGAATGCTTGAATGCTTAGAGATGCTTAGAGTATAGGCTACAGGCAGCTTCCGCCTTTCTGCTAAATGCTGCTGGTGCTCGGATAGTCTACCAATTGGTTTATCTTGTGCGGATCAAAGTTCGGATCTCACAGAAAAGGCCTCCATGATGGATAGCAAATCGAAGGCATCTTTTTGAGCCTCACTTACTGCAAAGGCTGAATGACATTGAATGACAGGTTTTCGAGCTGGTATCCATGACCGTCTGGACAGAGTGTCCGCACATGCCACCACATGTCCTTTACATGCACAAGCATAAAGCCAAAGCCTCCAGGTTATATGATCGAGCAAAGCTTTCAATAGCTTCTTCCGTCTTCCCCCTGAGAAGCATGATATATGTATGAAGATGGCGCTGGAATTGTGGTCAACACGAACAAAGCACCAAAAATGCGCGAAAGATCCACAAAACTGAACATAAGGCAAATACAGTAAACAAATGGACGGACTTCCAATAAACACAAGAAAAGCAAAAGGATGCAGAAGGAAACATACAAGCAGCTGCATAGCGTCGTATGCCGCGACCCTAGCTGTTGCCACGAAGAAACACCCAAGCATGGTTCTGTCACCTCATGTTGTAGCTCTTGTTGCAAAACTAGGCGAAGCAGGGACAAAGGAAAGTGTTGCCGTTCCTAGCCTGACAAACTTTGGAAAATGGAACTCCCAGGTTTCCTTCGCTTCCCCCCATTTTTAACTTCCGACATCCTTTTGCGGGTTTATCATGGTTTATCATGGTTTCTCCATCCTTTAGACTTTTAGTGTCGGGTACTCATGTTTTCAGTTCTTGATGTTTCTGTCCTCACTGTCATGTACGGGAGAGGTTGCAGAGCGCTTGTCAAGTTTGAAGCTCAACAGGAAAGCAAGCGGATGGGGAAAGCAAGTGGATTGGCTGGTGAAGCCTTCTACGCTGGGAGATGCAAAAAAGAATGCTTGGATATCCTATGTGGCAGACTTTGGAAACCGAATCCTCAACAGAACCTGACATGGAAAATATATGAAAATACGCAAAGCTTCTTTTAGTTTCTGAGGTTGCCAGAACTTGAAGCACAAGCGACAGCATCGACAGCGACTCAAGATGGGGAAGGCTTGGATCTTCAGACAAGCCTTGACCATCCAAAAGAGACAGCAAACATCAGCAAACTACGAAAACTTCGGAAAAACATGGAAGATCAAGGACGTAAGCGGTCAATCAAAACAGCAAATTCAACAAACGCTAAGAGGAGCTGTTCCATACATTGTGCCTCAAAAGGGATGACGCAAATTGGTAGGATGTGAAAATTGAAACACATTGCATGATAAGGAACATGCGGGGAAAGTACACTTATTCCCACATGTTAAAAATATTTTATTCAGCTATGGCTACACAATGCTACACACGTCTGAATGCCCCTTTATGCCGGTCGCTTGTCGCTCCTTCGTTTCAATGCTTCACCCAATCCTCGCAGAGCTGACGCAGTTAAAGGACTGTCTTCGCCGCAGGTGACCTTCGGGGAATGCGGCAGTGCTGCCAGGACTGGCCAACGCATTGGTATTTAACACTATCTAAATATACCCGTATCATAAATTATCAACATATAATATGTCATAACTTGTCATAATATATCCACCACTTTGGTGCTTGCTACATTTTTTTCCATGTTTGCCGCTTAATGCGACAATTCACAACCGGACAGGTTGCATCTGGCTTTGCATCTGGTTATACGTGCCTCGAAGAAAGCAACGTTTTCTCGCTCTCGTTCGATAGCTTCATCCTTGCAGTTTTGACCCCAAGGGATGAACCATGGCGGCTTTCCCCATGTCCCGTCCACAGAATTTCAGTAGAACTTTTGAAAGCATTTGAATGCATTTGAGCATATTGAGGGCAACATAGAGCAACTATGCTTTGAAGTTCGGTCATGTTTACTAATGGGCACCTCCATTTGCTGCTTCTTGAGCTCGTCGGTTTCCTAGAGCTGTCTTAAAGGTCGGTGTGCCCCGCTCTTGTCATACGCCCCTCACATGATATCCGCACTTGACTCTTTACAGTTTAGAATTTCAGCCACCTCAGTAGTCCATAGTCCATACAAGTTACAATATGTTACAATAAGTCTCCATTTTGCCCCTTGCTTTTGACTGCAGACTGCCTTTCCCTTCGAGATCCCTTGAGACTACACAAGCAAAGCTTCAAAAGTTATGTGTGTATGCTGATGCATGCTCTCAGCACAGACTTGCAAAAACCACATTCAAACAATTCAAGTCAAAAAAAACAAGATGAACTCAGGCTCTCCAAGGAAAGTGGCCGTGGCCATAATCTATGAGGACTCTATGGAGCACTTGATTTAGACATTTGTGCCAAGATGTGCCAAGTTCTTTCTCTCCTGCAAGGCCAACTTGAGGAGGATCTTGGCAATGGACATTCCTGCTTTTGCCACCAAGGAAGATGGCCTGAAGCGAGATTAGGTTTGAATACTTACTCATTCAAGATCCTTCTTGTAACAACTTCGATCCCCAAACATATGATCACATATCAATATGTTTACACACCACAAGATGACAGAACACTGCGTTACATTGAATTGCATTGCATCATATTGGCCTTAATTGAATACGTGGGCGTACCATCATGTAACATTGCATTTCAGGCATTACACTATATCAAAACAAACCCACGAACCAACCAATTAACAAACAAGACAAACCAACCCAAACAATTACACAAGCAAAAACCATGCATACATAGCGTAGCATAGCGAAGCATGGCAAAGCATAGCGCAGCATCGCATAATACGACAATACCCGACATGACATGAACACACATTATGAGATATCATTTTCGCATCTATGAGAATCCTGCACAATGTATATTATATATATATGTATTTATAATCTTTATACATATATTATATAATATCATATACAGATTATACAGGAGCTGCACAAATCCACATGAGATCACACAAGGGCGGCGATCACAGTTTTTGTTTGATTTGCAATGCTGCACTCTGCTGCAATAATTCTGCAATCTCAACTTGGAATCCAAGGCTGCCGGCTTCCCATTGGCGCGCTGTCGAAAGAGATCCTTGGAGCTGGGATAGCGAAGGCTGGTGCAAGCCAAGCTTTGATGATCTTCAAGGCAAAAACATGCAAACACCATAGATGCTATAGAAGTATCGAAGCACATTTTCGGGTTCGTGGTCACCAAAAGTCAATTCTTAGGTTGTCGCTTGTGACTCTCGAACAGCAGCAAGAGCCTTGGGACTTGTCTAAGAGGAACCTGTTTGGAGGTCTTGAAGCCATTAAAGCCCTAAGCTCTTCTAAAGCTGTAATCATGTAATCATATGTTTAATCTATTTAATTGAAATGTAATTGTGCTTTTCTCATTGATGGCGGCGAAACGACCTATGCCTCTTCGATGCTCATTGCGCAACAAATCAAGCGAATCAAGGCAATGAAAAGCAATGAAAAGCAATGAAAAGCAATGAAAAGCACATGCGTGTCGCCCATGTCGCGCATGTTGTATGATCTGTCCTCCTCAAAGTGTCCCAAGCGATCTTCAATCAATCCGAGTCCAAGCAGAATTCCTTTCGAAAAGAAATGATGGAAATTGTGACCTGATAAAAATGAGACCGGACCACCAACGTGGTTCCTGTAGCTAAGCTCTTTCTTGATCTACTTATCTCTTGTTTTCATTTGAGTGGCATGTCCAAATCACTCTCCAACTCCGTCGGAAGTCCAGTAACCAATTTGATCCGATTTGTGTAAAGAAGAACGAACAAGCACATACTTCCACCATCTTCCAACATCTTCCATCATGCTGTGCAAAGCACCGGGTTCCGGGGCCGTGTCCTGCCCGATCTCCGGTCTTCTTGCCAACCTCTTGATCCAGACATTTCAGAGCCCGCTGAAAGTACTTTGCTGCCTGAGCATAGCTTGACACGAACAACCAAAACACAATACCACACACACACACAATACACCACTTTTGTGCACCTTTGTCTCAGTCAGTTTGTATGTCAGTTTGTACATGTTTGTACTGTAATAGTTTGTAATAGTTTGTATATGTATCTATTTGCACTACCGATGCTTGAGCTTTTTCACCGATCTCACGGCGCAAAGCAATGCAACCCAAACAACAAGCAATCCGATAGTCTAGAGTCCAGTAATCCAGCCCAACGCTTTCCTTTGTTGTGCTGTGTCGGTCTGAATCACTAGGCGCCTCGTCATAGTTTCCCATTGAGCTGTAGGTGTGGCCCATGTTTTCACAAAGTGCTGCACTAGAACCTATGAGGTCCTGCCATAGCAGGCAAAAGTGTCTGAAGTGGTTTTGAACCCAAGAGTCTCCTTGTGAAATTAACACAAGACAAGTTTTAGTCTCAGCCAGGTTTAGTTGCTCATGTCCCTCTCCCACAATATTTACCACCGTGGAAAAGCAAGCAACATCCGCAAACATGTTCAGAGAAAGACTTTGGATGGACAGGATGAGCAAATACAGCACAAAACACAGTGATCCAAAATTATTCATACACAGACAATCATAGACATATGATGACATATGAATGTGTTTTGAATCGTTTTGATCTGAATTCTTTCATCCTGAAACGGCCATTCTCATCAAACATATTCAAACATCATTTTAGCCAAACCTTCGCGAAATATTGCCGAACCCAAAAAATCCCAAAATACTTTAGCCTCAGAAGCGAGGGATAACGAGGGATGATTTTGGAATAACAATGTGTAACAAATGGACCATCCTCATCTACAATCCCTACAACAAATATCAACAAATTTTAGATCGACTTCCACACTACAGCACAGAATGAAATCATGGTTTCAACAGCTGGATGGAACAAGTACCTTCTTCTTGAAACAACAGCTCTACAACCTCCAACTCTGAAAGATGTCAGTCTCTTTCCTTTACCCAGCTGCGCTTTGCGAAGTGGCCTTTTGACAAACACATGATGGCTACAAAAACCAATCACTCGCTGTTGTCGTCTCCTACCCTTTGTACGACGGTTGCGCTGCTGTCACTAGATCTAGTAACATTTTTTGCAGTGATGTGCAACTTCCATGGAAGCCCTTGTCCAATTCAAAGGCCCCAAACAAAAGAAAGTCAAATCAGGCCCCCCTTTGTACAAAAGCTGCCACTTCAAATTAGCACATGTCTTTCTATCCTGAACGGCGACAACATATAGCAGATTGAGAACTGTCGATGGTATTACAAGGTGGTGAAGAAGCCATCCGGCAGTGTGTTCCAAATAGATACAGTATGATACAGTTCAAATATGTCCAAAAAGTAAAGATGCTCTACAGTGCTTCACAAATCTTCACAATGCTGTACAGGCTCATGTTTGAAAAAAGTCTTGCGGTGTTGACAGACCTGGGAACAAGGGCAACAATTGCCAAGTTGCTCGGAAAAGCAATAAAGCACAATTATGGTGTGCATACTATGGAACACCTTGAAGGCATTCGCACAATATGAAAGCAGATAAAATATGATAAAATCGTATGAAATCGATGTGGATGGCTTCTGCAGTCTCCAGTGTCAACCGTGGCAAATCAAGTGCAAATCAAGTGGATCGACTCCGAGATCGACTCCTCGATCTCGTGAAAAAGCTTGATGGATTCCTTGAACTGGGACTTCTTCCACAATGTAAATGCAAGGGCCTGAAACACTGCAATTGCACGTCAAAAATTCTATTGGCTTTCTCAAGATTTCCCAAGCACTAAACACATTTAAAGTTAAAGCATGTGAAAAAAACACATTTTCACCAACAAACTTTAGACAGCTTCAAGATGCTTCAATCATATCAGAGCGTGTCGTGCTGGCTGATTTGCCAGAGGGTTCCATTTTGGCCAAAGCAATGTTGCACTGTTTGCAACTTCGCCGGTCCATGCAAAGAATATGCTGAGCAAACAGTTGTAGATGGACAGGACAAGGTGAACAAACTCAGACTTTGCAAAGATAGTCACTGCGACGTCCATGTATGGCACGTATGGCACACATGTCCATTGTCCGAAATGAAATGGGACTCATGGCCAGTATGTCCCAGCCATGGCATTAGCCACTATTTAGATCTATTTAGCCATGCATGCGTTTCACGCATCCTGTGGTCAAATTCCACAGGTGCTCTTCGCAAATGAAGGCAAAGGCTACTTTGGCCCCAGACCAAATCACGAAGCCAACAATCAGGATCAAGACTGGAAGGCCTTTCAAAACACAACAACGTGATAATGTGATACAATAATGATACAATGTCATATATAACAATGTTCATGAAAAACACACACACACAAAACTGAACCTTCTGAATCCAATCACAAATAATCACAAATAATCAACATGTATCCAAGTATTCCGAGCAAAGGGCCTGTGCAACCCAAGGCCTTCATGCCATGTGCAGCGCGATGTAGCAAGATCAAAGCACTAACGATGCAAGAGACAACCACCTGTGCACGGGCCAACAACCCACCGATCCACCCTAGCAAAAAGGGCAGCGGGTCGACCTTGAATGCAACTAATATACTTGTGAGATTTAATGTCCTGATACAGTAGGTCTATGTAGGTCTTGATACTAAACACTTTTCAGTACATTCATAAACTCGAGGAAACTTCTTTCTTAAAAACATCGACGAACTGATGGCATGAATACGGTACCATTGGAGAGATATCTTTAAAAAACAAGTTCGTAGCTGCCTTGTCTTTGGCACCAGCACCCTCTGAGTGAAATGCCATCGCCAAAAAAGATGCTTGAATCCAAAGTTGCAAACATCTGCCAACAAAGATCTTTAGCAGCCTTGGTCGAGGAAACTTGGTACTGGTACATCTTGGTACACACAAAAGGTTCGTTTGTGCACGTTTACCTGATGCTATGCACCTGTCTGTATCGGTCAAAGGATCACTTAGGACGACTTTTTCACTCACTTAGGATGACATTTTGAGATGTGGGCTTCAACCTTCAGGGTTAACTCCATTGGATACAGACCTTTAGGGTTAACTTTTTAGGGGGGACAGGGGACAAGGGACGGGGGACAGTGGGAACAAGTCGAGGTAAGAGACACGACATCGAACACATTGGACTCCATGGGACACAGACCTTTAGGGTTACAGTAATTTTTTTAGGGGGACAGGGGACCGGGACAAGGGACCGGGGACGTAGTCCTAAGCGAGTAAAAATGTAGGTCTAAGCGAGGCACTGACCGTCTGTATCTATGCAGCATCTTTCAATACTGGCCAAGGGTCAACAAAGTCAAGAAATGGAAGCTCTCCACCAAATGCAAATGGTCTGCAAGCTTTTGATTAAAGTCCTCAAACGAACGCATATTATGGCACATCTACAAGGCATGATTCATGACTTATCAAAGTCGTAGCGAAATGTCTTCCCAATAACCATTCCATGCCATTCCAAGATATTCCAAGTATATAAGTAGTATAAGTATGTACTGTATAAGACAAGTATGTACAAGTATGTACAAAGGATGTACAAGATTGTACAAGTATAGTGTAAGTATAGTATAGCATAGCATAGCATAGTATATACTTGGTCGGCCTGACCATCCTCACCGACAGTATCTGCGCCGTTTCACGACAAACACACGATATCACACGATGCTATACGATGCTCCTCAAACATGGTAGCAGTGTCCGCATCGAGGCGTCCGTATATGAAATCACTTCGAGCTTGGCGTGCTGTAGGATTGTCTTTGTAGTCCACAACATATCGCTTTTGATTTGCCATCTCTTCCGCCAATAAAGCGACGCCTGAAACATTCAGAATGCAGTGCCACTCAGCCATCAATTCTATTGACAGGTGCTGAAATTGAAACATTACTCGAAACAGTCTCGAAACATGGTATTTTTGAGTCTCTAAATTACTTGCTTTCTGACTCAGTCCGACACCCTTGATAATCCCTTGATTATTCTTAAACAAACATGTTCGGTCAAAGAAGCTTGGCATCATTGAAGTCTCGGCTGCACGGGCCCACGCAACAAAATCAGTTCCGGAGACAGAATCTCTACTTCGCAAGAAAGGCATGCACAGGAGACCAAGCACCTCAGTCCAGAGATGCAAGACCTGGAAAGTCACATTGAACATCATTGAATTGAAAAAATGTCATCGAAGGCATCTGCATGACAGCCAGGTTCATGATGCCTGGGGACTTTTTTGGCAAGCAACTCCGTTCACCAGAATTCCAGTTGCGGAGGATAGCAGTGCGAAGCCCCAGAATCGCAGTTTTGAAAGCATTTTGACGGCAAAATCTCCAACCATGGGGACGTCCCTCCATGCAGTCTTCCAGTTTTCAGTGAGGATATCATCGCATTCTCTAGCCACGAAGGGAAACGTCACATCTGTGAACAAAAGAAATGCTTCACAAATCCCCACTGCTACTAGGTACTTTCGTCGCCGAACTACTCCGAAGTGACGCATGATCACCATCTCAGGCTGGGATAGCAAAGACGTCAGTGCTGTGTATGCACAGTTCTCGCTGTAAAGGTGATGCAGTCCTACCACTATCAGTAGGACGAGCGAGAAATTTGAGAAGCCTTTCTCACAAGAAGCCCTCCAAGATGGTGCAGCCCATTCCCAAGCCACGATGCCCAGCGGCAACAGTACCCAAGCCTTAAGAAACCATGCAATCAAACGCCTTTGAATAAACAGGTTTCGTCAGCAGCATCTGTAGCAACGAGGTGTGCGCATGATAGCTACTTTGGAGACAACAACTGCCTTTCCATACTAGAACACTCTCTGGCAAACTGAATATTTGATACATTACTATAAATTGGAACCGGTATATACATGTATATACAGTATATACACGGATACTCACACATGCTTACACCTGTTTACATCAGTACACGGATATCTACGTGCACAATGCCGCTGCAACTAAACTATTGACGACTGCATACTAGTGCGAACCTAAAGAGCGTTTCACATTCCTAAATATGTAGTCCTAAATCTACTAAACACGCAACACCTCCAGTGCAGGCCGAATCGCAACAAAGGCGGCTCTAAAAAAGGTGTTTTGCAGGTCCGAGATGATGGCAGATTGCCTTGCAGAATTCTCATAGATAACAGCGACGGGAGAATAGCTGCCTTCGAGGCGGCCTTCACCACCCATGTTGCAGAGGCTACTGAGAGATACCTTCAGAGACTTTCTTCAGCTCTCAGAGATTTTCGAGGCATTTCGAGGCACATAAGTTTGGAATCACTGTCCTGTATGCGTCAAAGATAAAATGCAATCAGGCTATATAAAGACGTCAAATATGTCCCTGTTGTGACCAAAATGAATTAAACCATATTAAAACAATAATATTCTTGCCTGACTCCGCCCTTCACTTGGGAACCAAGGACATTATGCGCAAATCAATCATGAGCCAAACAGCTTAGCAAATGAAACATCACAAAATTGCATTTCTGCACGTCCTTGAATATCAAAGCACCTCTCACCCACTGTCCCCCATGCTTAAATGATGTAATGTAAAAAAGGACTGCTACGCACCAAGGATCTTTACATCCTTGCTCGTCAGTTTTGCAAATTTGAGGGCAAAGCAGTGCAACTTGAGGGAACATTATTTGATAATATTTGATAGTCCCCAGAACAGCAAGAACATTTATCTCCCAGCTGTTGGCCAGACCAACTAAAAGACATGACATATAGACTTATATTTCAGCCTTGGTGCTGCTACCTGGGCAATCTGTGTACAACTTGTTTCCCACTGTTACGATCTAAATTGTTCCTAGTAAATGGATGGTGATGATTACAGATGTATATACTGTATATATATATATGTATATATAAAATGAGTAAACATTCCCATGGGTGGAAAGATTGCATAGTGTGCATTACAAGTGCATTACATCACACTGCAACCATATCTTATTTCTCGTTCTAATTCGTGCAATATAGATCCTGTTAGTATTTTGATGTATTTTGGAGCTGCTTTACGATCCAACGCATTGGATTCTGGTGTCCTTGTCTAAAATAGCCTTAACTGATCTTAACTGTCTTAACTCTCGAGGGGAAGCTTTCAGAACAGTGGAACGCATCAGTGCACCACCAGACACTGCAGGCCGACCTGCACACCCTTCACATGAAAGTCACCTCAAACAACTGTCCAGTGGATGTCTTCCAACTGAAACAAACAAGTTGAATCACCCTGACTGCTTTGTTGAATTAATATTAATGTTTCAATGGTTGTGATTTACTATATTTCATTTGACTATTCACATTCGTGTACATCCGTTTCCTTGGCACTCAGAATCCAAGTATATTGCTGAGTTTAGCATCCCACAGCATTGTATTATACTGTCTCATATTGTGTCATTTCGATTTATGTCTATTCATGTCCTTTAGCATTGTGATGATCGTCGTGATGGATCGTACATCCTGATCCGTGCTTGTGCTCTTTCTTGTTCAAGGCTCAGGCCTCCTCTTCTCCGGCAGATTGGGACCACCTCCTCCAGGACCTTGAATCTTCTTGGAATCTTCTTGCGGTCAAACATTGATTAACATCGGTCTGTGAATCTCCCGGGATTATTGGAATTATATTCATATATACATGTCTATATTTTTCTCACATTTTATCACATCTGTTCACATTTTGTCACAACTGTCAGAAAAAAATATTCATTAAGCTATGGTGTATGGTCGTGGACTCTATCGAGCCAACTTTTGAAGGACTACTGAAGAATTCATGAAACATATGTAGGCAAAAATAAGCAAACATAAGTATAAGCAGTACCAGTATGTACAATGTACACAAATTACAGATATTACAGTGCAGGAATTGAACTTGTCATGTCAGCAGCACCTCCATGCATTTGTTCAAGCGGTAGAGCTGGATCCACATGTCAAAGAGCTACCGCAAGCAAGGGCACACTGGACACGTTCTCTTAAAAAAGGCACCACGAAGCAAATCTATGCAAACCTTGGATTTTCCGAAACTTATCGCGGCATAAACTATTGATGAAGCTGGTTGTGAGGCACTGGCAGCTCTGATCCAAATTGCAAACGAAAATGCTTGTAACGAACTCTGCGTTAGCACTCTACTTTCGAGGCCGGACATCACCTGAAGTATGCGTTGTTCCGAATTTCCAAGCCCTGCTTTCACCATCCCATGACATACAAGTCTCATGTTTTCAACATGGAACCGCCGCATTGCCGATCTTGCCTGAAAGAAGGTATTCAGCGTGCTGTCATCATCCAATCCTTGCTGTTGTCTTTGCTCCTAAGAGAGAGCATAAGAAAGAAAATAAAATACGATAGTTGTCAATAATTCTCCAGCCAAACAACTACTGAACATTTTAACATATTTTAACGATGTTTAAAGCATGCACACAGTAAACGAATCCTTCGAAGAAACAAATACGCATGTATGATGTGTCATAAATATCATAAATGCATTGCATATGCTCTTGGGTACAGTAAATCTTATGTAGTCAGCCTATGTGTATCTGCGCCGGTGTTTTCATGATGTTGCACTTGTGTGGGTCTGTCTGTCCGTCCGTCTGCATTTCTTCATGGACTCATGTCTGCGTGGGCTCGTGTTGTCTGCATGAATCCATGCCCCATCCTTGCATGCATACTTGGAGGGACAGGTGAACGGACGGATTGGCGGACGATCCAATATATCAGAAAGCCGGCTCTTGCATACATGTAGATGGTTGCCTGAGAAGCTGCATGATGTATGTCGCATACATATGCGTGTTTGCATGCGTATATGTTTCCGTGAAGAAGAATTGTAATCTTGCACATTCATGTAGACTGTATGTTGCTCGGATATCATTGAGTGTCCAGTTACATTTCAAAGAGTGCGTGTGGGTGTGCATTTGTATGAATAAGTATAAGATATTCGCTGACTATCTATCTCTTTTGTTCCTGTAAATATCTCCTTGCCGGTCACCATGAACGTTTGGATGTGCATGGATCAATGGACGAGCTGAAACCTGGGTGTGAAATGGCATTGACGTGGCATGAATCCGTGAAGGATGATGAAGTCGCACGAATGCATTTGATGAAATCTAATTTGTATATAATTGACTATAATTATATATAACTTTATATATATATAATTATACATATAATATTTATCATTTTATATTTACTGCGTTTGATCTGTGCCCAGGAATCTCTGAGATACCTCTCAGCATGCGGCTGATCAACCCTACTGGGGAATGAGGTTGGTCATACTCTGACGATGTCTGCTTGTCTTGCCCAACAGGACATACACTGAGGCATTGTACGAGAAACTCTGGCTTGCAATGCAAGCAAAAGATATGTCAGGCAAGGATACACTTTCTGTCTGGGTTGAAGGAGTGCCAGTGAATTGTGCCATTTCCACGCGATAGCTTGATCCATGCTTAGACTGAGCCACTAAGACCATACCCCAGGTGGAAGCACAATTCTGGAGCATACTGGAGCAAAGCATAAAGATATATGAAGATAAATGAAGATATATAAAGATATATATATATAGATATATAAAGATATATAAATATATATAAAGATATATACTATAATATAATACAATATAATATAATATAATACACTAGAATATAATATAACATAATATAATATAATATAATACAATATATAATAAATATCATTTAACTTACAGCTTCTTGCAGTCCTGAAAGAGCTTCTCCAATCGGGCTTCTTCCTGGAAAAGGTTCACACAGAGTTCACTGCATGGGAACAACGGCAGGAGACTCGGAGAATACTTTTTTCAACACAGTAAGCTAAAGCAATGTAAATAATGTAAGCATAGAAATGCATAGAATAAGAATATGAACTCAAACGATCCACGCTTTGTGGAATCACCAAAGTCTGGTCTCGCTGATTCCCGCTGCATCTCGCTGCAAAACAAATGCGAGTTAATAGGACCTTGATCTGAAGTTCTGCCAATTCTTCCATGGGTCCATCCTCACGCGCAGAAGTTTGGCAAGCACAGAGAGCTAGCCTAGGCAACCTGAAGTCTACAGCTAAGCTAATCCGAAGACTTCCACATTGGATTCCACAGTATGTTACAATTTTCTCATTCTGCGCAGGTCCTGTGGATAGCCATCATGAGACTCATGAGACATTGAGACGCAGAAAATCAAATCATTCACCCCTCAATCTCATGTTGTCACACACTGAAAAGCAGCAACTCACAGAAGAATCAGGCTTTGTCAGTTAAACACTCACGTGTGTTATACATAGACTACATGCTTTTCACGTGCATGATACATGAACATGCATCACATCAGGCTTATTTTGCAGAATCAGGAGCTTTGTTCTACAGATTCTTGAAGACTTGCACTAAATATCCACACAAAGTCATGAGTAGGATACAGCGTGTTGCTGAGTACTTGATGGAGAATATTGTGTTTCTGTTGCTTTCTGTCATCTTGGAGACCCTAATACCAGTCGCAAGGCAGACGAACAATTCCAGCAATCTCATGATGACTTGTTTCGGTTGGGAAGCCAACGCTGAGTCCTTTCAAGTCCTACGTGGCAGGTTGTGAAGGTCCATGGATGTCTGAGACAATGCATATCTGAGATATTCGCTTGCAGACTTTTTGTCACGTTGCCGATTCATGAAATGCTCAGCCAAGCTCTGGCTGAAAATTCTGGCATAATAAGCCTTATGGGACCTGTGTACATGGCTTGAGAAACTCAGGCTGTGAAACAAGTTATGAAACTTAGTCTCGTGAAACGCATAACCAGACCTTATTAGGCCTTGCTAAATATTTCTACTGGAACCGAAAAGACGAGTCTTCAGCTGCGGATTCCTCGGTGGCACTTGTTACTCATGACATGTTGTGCTTTTGCTTTAAGATGCTTTAAGATGCTTCAAACTAGTTACAGAATCTTACAAATGCTCATAGACATTGTCCAGCTGGTTCAAACTCAGGGGAGCACTTGCTGACGATCTGGCCCTCAACCTTTCTTGGAGAAGATATTTCAGCTTCCTGAGAGGAGGGGCACATATCATGGTCAAACATGTGCCACTGCCCTCTCCAACCAGCTTTGGCTCGTATTTCCAAACACAGCAACCTGAGCTTATCTCCACACTGGCATAGGAACAAGTGCGCATTCCAGAAACCACATTTAGCCATATTCAGCCTAAGCATTCTTAATATTTCTTAATAATCTGCAAAGTACCTCTCCCACGCCGTACAGTGAGATTGGTGCATCACGGATGTGTCACAACCAGACTAGAACCCCGGAAACCTCGAACCGTTACTGTTGGGTTGCAACACTGGGTTAACGTACTCTACAAATGTGCGAAAATCTACGGCAAAGACATTTTCTTCTTCAAACCGTGCTTTTTTAAAGAGCTGCTTAGATGTCAACTATAAACCCAAGTTTCTTTTCCGGGAACAAAAGTGCAACAAGTTCAAGCCCGTGAATTCCCCTGAGGTATACAGTACCTGCGTTCAAGCAAGGGTCCAATTATGCGTCGTCCCTTGCTTAATTGTTTGAAAGGATTTTCACCAACAAATGCGCTGTATGTAATCTCACTTCCGACTTTTCTGGGTTCAAGGCCAGGCCTTTTTTATTTCAAAACAACTAGTCTGACTAGTCTGGCTTTAATTTGTGGTTTTGATCCCGATTTTTCACTTCTCTGCGTGTCCAGTTTTCTCGATCGACTCCAGCCTTTCAAATGACAATGAATCGTACGAGTACTGTATGGCTGTAAGACAACCTATATGAGTATGTAACAGTATGTGTAACCAATGTATGAATCAAAGAAAATACCACGGACCCTAAGGAGGGTACCCTAAATTTACTGGCCAATGTTTTGGAGATTTTGCGGGCACCTCCTTCGGTTACAGAAAACATAATGTTGAGAAGTTGGAGACTTTCCAAAGTTATTCAGTCTCGTGTCATTCCCATTTTTTCCATTTTTTTCCCACCTGAACATGACCGCCTTCTAGGTAACCTAAGAAGGAGGAACTAAAACACTAAATGCTTGAAATAGTAACATACCAAAAGTCTTCCACAGTCTACATCAGGGGTGAGCATGTCTTCACACTACGCATGTTGTGTGTCATCTTCCATTTGGTCACACGCACAGGTTCGTGATCGTTCGTGTGTATATTATATATATATGATATGTGGTATATACACTATATATATACATATATATATAATTATATATACATATATATATACTATTATATACTATGTAAACAGGTGTATGGGTTCGATTTGACCATAGAACACTCTGACAGCATTTTTTGCATAGACTGCTCCATGCTATGTATAATATACGTACACACACACCCAAATACATATATGACACTGTGATCATGTGATGCATATATTAAACATGTCATGCGCTGTTTCGACATGTCTTGACAGGGCATGGTTCAGCAGCTCTGGCCTCTTCCACGGCAAGGAGTGAAGTTGCTGCGCTTGGAAAGTAGTACTCCTTCAATGAACAGGTAATGATTCAGGTTTGCGGCTTCAGTGGGTTAATTGGCCTAAACATTGTGGGAAAATGTAGTTTTAAATTTTCTCCATCATCCCCTTGAAACATTGGTGGCGGTATACAATATATTAGACATTATTAGACTATTAGATAGGATTGTCCTATTCGCAAACACATTCTTGAGGTGTGTGGAACGTCTATTCTAGCCAGCTGGTCTGGCAGGCAGTTCTCAACTAGCTCGGCCCTGAGCTGGCTCAACCTAGCCCAATCATGTCCATACTCCTAACATGGTTCAAGATGCCCCCAACATAGCTCAATCTGGAGCCAAGTTGGCTGGTACATCCCCCCGCGCGAAGACATCTAGTCTATGCAAAACCCAAAAACACTGTAAACCACTCGGTTTGAACCATGTCCGGGGCATGTTGGGGTAATCTTGGGGCATGTTGGGCCCAGATTAGAACTATGTTGAAATAAATTGGAATGTCTAAAAAATCAATCAACCCTTCATTCTAGACAAAAAACACGTGCCCCCGCTAGCTAGAGTTATATACAGTAGTCGATTCTGATTGTCTATGGCATCCGCAACTTCACGCCGCAGCACTTCCGGTGCCGGCGGACTTTAGGAGGGCTTCATCTGGAGTTGCAGCAGAGGTGTTGATGTGGCAGCGTCGTCGCAACAAGAATGGTCTCTTTGAACATCCATTAACATCTAAGGGAATCTAAGCCGCGTTTTAGGAGTGGTATTACCATCCATTAACATCTATTAGGGAATCTAACATGGAGTGGTTGCTTTTCTGTGAGCGTGGTCGGGGGGTCTTTTCGAGGACGTTCTAAGGGCACAAACAAAACACATGTAAAACACACATTCTAAGCGATTCTCGCTGAGTATGGCTTGACCAGTTTGCAAATTCAAAGCACAGACTCTTGTCAATCGGCAGGAATTTTTGCAAGACCCCAGATTGGAACACAATACTCAATCTAAAACACCAAGGCAGTTGATCTGCAAAAAATGACGACAAACTATAGCGGAGTTTCGGTCCTTTTCCTTTCCAAGGAGGACAAACAAATTGGCAATTCAAAGCGACAGCAGGTGGAGCTGAAGCGGAACAAAGAGCCAAAAAGGATGTAAGATGATGTAACCAAGACAGAAACAATCATCATGTTTTGGCGAGGCAGGACCACAAACGAGTAAAATAAATAGGAAGAGTTCTCTCAGGTCAAGTTCCGTTTTTGATCTTTCATGTGGCACTTGGCACATGTGCTTCAAAGGCTCTTGGCCTAGGTGGCCTCAACCTGTGGATTCAGCCTTGAAATACCCGACTCCTTTGGCCCTCTCTGACAGTTGTCTGGTTTTCCCGATTTGTCCGGATGTCCTCGTATTTCCGTGGACTTGGAGCGAGACCATGGCCCATAGTCGCGCCTCTAATCTTGGAATGCAGTAGATACTGGTAGCGTACATAGGAGAAAAACATCAAAAACACCACAAACTTGATGCGTCCTGGATTTTTTGGTTGTCTAGGCGTTGAAACTGAAACTGATTCGCAAGAAAGCAGGGGACCACCCATTGCAGTCTGAGAATGGAACCCAATGGAGGCTGCGCAGCGCATCCAGGAAAGCGAGAGCCCGCATTGACACGTGGCTGGCCAACAGGTCACACTGCACACAAACACAAAAGAATACATCGACGTTCACACACACACACACGCACATATATATATATATACATTTATATATATAAAAATACACATATTATCATATACTATGCGAAGGAAACTTAGAAGTCAAACTTCCGACAATATGGACACATGAAAGCAGAGGTGGGAAGAGTCAGAAGAGAAGAAGAACCAAGATCAAAAAAGAGAAAGTCTCAGAAGAAAGAAGATCCAGGTGCGCGAAAAGGTAGGAAAGTCGCGAAACATTGTGTTTTTCCAACAGTTTGCGGCCCCGGACGGTCGAAAAGTAGGCTCGCTAAAGCGGTGGGTGCGGAGCCAGCTGGCCAGATGAGAGATGAAAAAGTGCATGCCGTTGCGGCGCGAAGCACATGTCGAAGTCAAAATGTACAAAACACACCAGGTCCGGACCATTTTTGGAAGTTGAAATGTCGAAAAAGTACACACCGTTGTGGTGCGAAGCACATTTCGAAGTCAAAATGTACAAAACGCCTCAGCTTCCGAGCACTTTTAGAAGTTGCAACGTCAAAAAATGTGCACGCCGTTGTGGCGCGAAGCACATTTCGAAGTCAAAAGTGTAAAAAACTGACGGCTCAGAGCACTTTTGGAAGTTGAGATGTCGACAAAGTGCACGCCGGTGTGGCGCGAAGCACACTTCGAAGTCAAAATGTGAAAAGCAATGAAAAACACCACATGCTCGGACCAGATGTCGTTTCGCGTGGCAGACGCAAGGGATTGTGCACCTTGTCAAAAGTGAGCAACACGTGAGGGTTTTGTGGCATGTCCAAAAACGATGGCAGGCGTGGGACATTTGAAGAGGACCTGCAAAGATGCATTTTCCGTGGCAGGCGCAGTACAAGAGACATGTTCATCAGAGATGTTAGGAGGTCCCGGCGCTGATTTCCTGAGAGGGGTTGCATTTAGGAGCATCAGATCTTCAGGTTTGCTGAGATGATTTTGCGTGACAGGTGCAGCACTTCGTATGACCTGGCGTCACTTTTTCGTGGCAGGCGCAGTACTTTAGACAGGTGGAGTGGAAAAATCGCAAAACGCATTGGTACGAGGCCATCAGCTCTGCTCTCAGCGTTCCATTTTTGAAGGAAGTCTCGCAGAATTGCTTCGTTTTTGATGTTGTCAAGTTCAAAAATTGAGGAAGTCTCGCAGAATTGCTTCGTTTTTGTATGGTGTCAAGTTCAAAAATTGAAGACGTCTCGCAGAATAGCTTCGCTTTCAATCTTGCAGATGGATAGTAGATAGATTAGATTAGATTAGATTAGGTTAGGTTAGGTTAGGTAAGATAAGATAAGATAGATAGATAGATAGATGGATAGATAGATGGATGGATAGATAGATGGATAGAGAGAGAGAGAGATAGATAGATAGATAGAAAGAGAGAGAGAGATAGAGAGAGAGAGATAGATAGATAGATAGATAGATAGATAGATAGATAGATAGATAGATAGATATAGATAGATAGATAGATAGATAGATAGATAGATAGATAGAGAGATAGATAGATAGATAGATAGATAGATTAGTTAGATAGATAGAAAGATAGAAAGATAGAAAGAGAGAGAGATAGAGAGAGATAGATAGATAGATAGGTAGATAGATAGATAGATAGATCGATAGACAGATTAGATAGATAGATAGATAGATAGATAGATAGATAGATAGAAAGATAGATAGATAGATAGAAAGAGAGAGAGAGATAGATAGATAGATAGGTAGGTAGATAGATAGATCGATAGATAGATAGATAGATAGACACATAGACAGACAGACAGACAGACAGACAGACAGATAGATAGATAGACAGGTAGACAGATAGCTAAATAGATAGATAGATAGGTAGATAGATAGATAGATAGGTAGGTAGATAGATAGATTAGGTAGTTAGATGGAAGAAAGGGGGAGAGAGAGAGAGAGAGATAGATAGATAGATAGATCGATAGATAAATGGATAGATAGATACATAGATAGATAGGTAGGTAGGTAGATAGTCAGAGAAAGAGAGAGAAAGAGAGGAGACCTCAAACACCTTTCGGTCCATCAGTGGCTTCGCTCTGCCATCCGTGATTCACAACAACCAACCGCTCCTATAGGTTTCCTATTTTTGAAACTTCCGCCACCGCCTTGTGCGGTACTACTGGTAATATAGAATACAATTCTTGTGGGCAAATTACGTATATGTATATATTTAACATCTTTATTTATATGCCAGGAATATGACATGTAGTATTTTTTTCTCTCCTCTCTCTCCCTCTCACTCTGAGAAAATCCCTGTATGTAAATTATGGAGAGCTAAATAATTTCCCATCTGTTTATTATTCGCACGCACAGTATATTAAGGATAAGATATGTTCGTTGCAACTATGGTGGAAGCCCCGAGCCTTTTGTTTGCCAACCCAGACAAAGCCATTATTCAAGTTTGGCATCACCCAAAGCGAAAGAAACCCTCTGATCTACATGCTTTCTCTTGAAAAAACATGCGACACACCGCTACGCCACAACACTGCCATACCCTGTCCACAGATAAATCTTGCCAGTGATACACGCTCCCTGGTACTGAGTACGTCGCCCAGCTCACGCTTCACAACCTGTGGTCTAAAGGCAGTGGACATAGCCCCATTTTGGACCGGGGGCCTGGCCCAGAATAGGAGCCATTTTCTTGATGAATGATAAGGTAATACGGTAAATATGGCCAGAAAAAAAAACACATGCACCGATTCAACAAAGTATATGCCGCTGGCTCCTCTCAGGCTTCTTGGAAACCACTTGCACTAAGATGCAGGGTGAAACGATGTGAAACAGATGTCCTTTTGAATCAAGATGGAGACGCAGCGAGGAATCTCAAATCCAATTTATGAATACTTATGATATTTATATGTTTCTCGTTGTTTCTCCATGCGCAGATGCAAGAGATGCAAGTCTCGATTGTATTCGATTGTCATCTTTGCCTCTGAAAGAGCCTGAAAGAGTCTATCCTAGACTTATAGGACGTCTTATTCGAGTCTGAAAGGATGTGGAATTTGCCCAGTTCATCCCGGTTCCAGGCCCTGCCGGAAACTTGCTCAGGGCCAAACTCGTGCAGAAGGCGGCCTTGCTTTGACTGCAAAAATTAATTGCAGGTCGTGGTGAAAAGATGTGAAGCATTTGCTGTACGTATCTTCATGTTGTATTACAGTGTATTGCAGTCACTAATATAGTAGGCATACAAAGTCGGAACTTGATTTTGAAGTTGCTGGTCAAATATTTCTGCACACCGTTGAACCATCCTGCGATGCTGCGGCTTGAGGTTTCTTCAGTCTCATAACTACAGTGCTACTATCACCGTTGCCGTCGTTATTTGTTGTTACGTTGCATTGATTTATTGCGATATCTAGAGCCCCCTTGGTGCCAAGCGTTGGCTGAATGGGGCGAGGTGCTGCTGGCGCTTTGGGCACCTTCACCTTAGAGAGGCGCAAAAATGAATCTGCATCAAAACAGAAAAGGACGGTCACACAGATTTACAAAGAACATCAGCATTGCCCACGCCGGGGGCGGAAACCGCAATATGAAGGGAAGGCCTATCGGAAGGGTTTGCCGCGTGACATCAATGTTTGATTGACTGAGCGACTGGAGGACTGGCTGATTCAGTGACTGAACGGCTGAAGCGGCACTGAGAGATTATGTGATTGAATGGCCCGCTTTACGGCCACTTCTTCTGACCCGAGTTTCTTTGAAACAAAACTTTCCTGACACAACTCTTCTTTGAGACACTTCTCTTCCCAAGTACTGATCCCCTGAGCTGTTGGTAGCAATCAGGCAATGAAGAAAAGATCTTGGATCGAGGCTTCAAGTCTGATGTTTGGATATCCCTTGTATCACAAGATGATCACGCACGATCAAGGATAGACAGGATAGCTCAAGTCCTAGGAAAGCGCACTCAATCACCGATGTTTTCCACGTAGCGCGAGGGGCCATTCATGGCGGCTATTGGCAGAAGGGATCCCTGCGAGTCATATGGGCCGAAGTACCCATGAGATTGAATCAAGCTCCTGAGGCCCATCATCAAATTCCACAACTGACACACCCATAAAGTCTTCAAGAGAATGGGTACGTCGGCTCGCCTTGAGTTTCTTGGCGCTCGTAAAATTGGGGTCAAACTGTGCAGGGTCCACATGCCACCATGCATGATCTTACGTAAGATCCCTGGTGGCAACGGCTTGGTAAGACCGTCCGCAACTTGGGCTTCTGAATGCACCCAGCGGACCTCTGTCTTCATTTTCTCTAAGGGTTCCAAAAGACAGAGAACTTCTAAAGTACTGTGCTTGTCTTCCAAACCTGCGCTTGATGAATACAATTCCTTTTTCAGCAAAATGTCGTAAAGGGATTTTGCGCCTATGACTACAGTACCTCTCACAGCTGCGATCTTCCCAGTAGATTCTGACAGTGAAATCAAATCACCACATAGTTCTGCCCAGGCAAGTCTAACGAACATAAGCTCTTGGTCGGTCTCTGAAAGTGCCTGAGCTTCAGCTGCAAGTGAAGACCTGGCTTTTCTCGCCGGCTTTCCTGACCGCCATGACACTAGCGTCACAGGGGAAGGCATGCCTTGCATGGCAGCAGGATTAGCTGCCGCTATCACATAGCCTCCAGTGCTGCCCATGTCAATGCGGTTGGCGAGAGCTGCATCAGGCCAACCTACAACACAAACTTCACGGGGGTCATTCACATCAAGCTGATTGATTGATCTTCACTGACAAATGCCTGGTTTGAAAGCTTCTCGAATCAACTTGTTGGTGGCTTTTATATGCTTTTATGGTGCTGCTAGTAGGCCTGGCAAGTTCGCTCTGCAGCTGCCCCAATCGAGCTGACAAATGCGGTGCAGTTTGATGATGTTTGGTGTGCTCTCCCTGCAGGGATTCCTTGGCACCCTGAATTCCAATGGCCTTGGTGTTCAGGTTCTCGCGGCTCGATTCCTTCACCACATTCTCCTTCACCTTGTCCATGGCTCGGGCAGTATCGGTTGCCAGAGGATCAGCCGACCTGTAGATTGCTTTGGCACCGTGAACTGGCGTATATGTTTATTCCTCAATCGGCACATTTCGCAAACTTGCCATCGACCGTGACCGTTGCGACCGCTCAATGGGCCCCAGCAGGGGTATCCCTGGCTCCGAGGATCTCGGGGATCTGGGCCTTGCATTCAAGCCCAATCGTACTTCTCGGCCGGCGGTGTTCGGTTGCGAGAGCCCTTGGATTTCGGCTTGGCCTTCTGCTTGGCCAAGGCAGCTTCGGTCTTCGCATTCTCGGGTATGGACGATTGGGCTTGAGTACATGCCTGGTAGAAGAGGATGTTGACGAGATGGCAGCAGCGACGAGCGCAGGGAACAAGCGCATGCTTGAGCCCGTAGTGAAATCGGCATTCGGGTTCGCTGACTGCATCCTCTCATTACCAAATTGCTGTTCATGACATTGTTCTGACATCAGTTCTTTTTCCATATCTTCTTCGCAAACACAACGGCTATCCGCTGAAACGACCTGGGATACCTTGGAATCACCGGCAAAACTGGAATGAGCATGAGGATCTACTTCACGAATCCCATGACATGGCGATGGCAGGAATGTATGTTGATCTCCACAGATTGATTGGTCAGCGGCCTTGTACTGCTCACGGGGCATGTCTGGAAAGTCATTGCTCGCAGTAGCAGGATCGCTGGCCAAATGGATGGACTTGACATCGCCTAGCCAATCTTGAATAAGATCCAAAAGCAAATGCCCGTTTCGAGCTCTCTTCAAAGGTAACTTAACGTTCTGTGGACATTTGTTTGAAACAAATGGTGGCATCTTCAAAATCCACGACGGCACGAAGCCTTGTCAAAGTCTTGACTGAAATCAAAAGTGGAACTCCAGGTGCATCTAAAGTGTGCACACCGAGACGAACTGACTGCCCTGCTAAAGTTTGTGGCAGTTCAATAAAAGACTCTGCCATCTTTGTTTCACCGTTTCCAAACTTGAAACGTTTCTGTTTGGCATGCGCTACTAGGTCTTCTTGACCAAAACGCATCTGACGCAACTTCATGATTTCTTCCAAAGCTTCAAAAGAGGCTATTGACTCAGTGGCACCGCTACCCAGGAAACTCATGAGCCATGACAGCCAAAGCTTCAGCAGTGATTCAGCAGTGATTGGAATCGTTTCTGACTCCTCAGATTCCTCCCCGGCAGGCATGAACATGAAAATGGTGCGGGTGTAGAAATTGGTAGATGGGGAACTCGTGGAGAACTGAGCTGGCTTGTTCTGTCGTTTTGGGCATGATCTAAAATCATGTTCCTTTGATCCACATATGAAACACCCGCGGTATTCAGGACTGCCTGGTTTCTGGCCCTTTGACATCCCTTTTCCAGCCACAGCCAAAAGATGAGCTTCCTTTCTTGCCATAGGAGCCTTTCCGCTTGCCCTTGCCCTTGGACTGGTTCTTGCCCTTCATCATGGACAGGGGATCGTATCCTTTCGACATCTGCTTTGCATTGTTCAAGGCCCAAGGCTCGGCTTTCATGAAACGTGCGCATGCGTTCATCAAAGCCAGCAAAAATCTCCTCCAACTTCTGGCCATCCTGCGGAAACATAGCCAAACATTCCTGGCAATCCAACCAGGTTCAGGTTTTGGTTTCTGTCCAGCTCCAAAACGCACCCCCCACGTCTGCAGTGTAGAAATCATCATCAAATCACTGCCATTTCATCTCATGACCATCAGGAAGAAAAGTGCTCCATGCTGTATCTTCGACCCAGTCATGTTCTGAACTACTTTGAGGGTGTACTTCAGGGGGAAGGCGATTACCAACCCACATCACTGCATTCTTGTCAATCTCATCCAGACCGGCCTCAGTGATGAGACCCCGTTCACCATCTTCTTCTATCCAGAAAGAGCGTCGTGGCCGCGTGACGTCAAGTCGGTGGTGTGCTTCTGACAGAAGGAGTTCTTCCTCCTGATCCCTCATAGCTCTTTCCATGGTGTCGAGATCAAGTTTATTCTTGATTGCTGACAGGACTGACAATCTACTAGAAGCAGGCAAACCGCTACGACGCAACATGATCCAACCAAGAATCGCCGGTGGTAAAATTTGAATATCGCCGAAATCAAACTGTTCCCATTTTATTGGTTTGGTTTCCACATCATCTCCATAGGTGCTAGAACTATCTAGAACTGTTACTGTGATTTCTTCGCCAGTTCCAGCCTCGTGGCTCCTACCAGGCTGCCTACCACATTCGGAGCTTCATCTTGTTGAGGAAGTCGCTGATAACCAGTGCGATCGGGCTCAGCAGGTTCTCCTGGACCGTCCAAGTCTCCTTGCGCAGGACCAGGGTTGGAGAGCTGAGGACTGCCTCCAAAGGGCAAGTTCAGCAGCATGTGGAGTGGTTGCATCAGACCTTCTGTGAGGAGTGGATGTTGCTGGTAGGGGACCATGCTTGGGAGAGCTAGAAACCGTCAAACCATCGCCACGTTGCTCCATGTTACGGCGCTGTCTTGCCATTGCCCTTTGCAATCTCCTATATGCCTCTCGGACGTGTGTGCCCCACTCTGTCATGGAGGCACCAGGCTGTCTTCGTAGTCCAATGAAGAAGCCCTCTAAACATTGCCCAGTGTCCAAAAAACGAAGCAAGTAGGCAGCAACATCTGGTTGTTGGAGTTGATAGTGGTCTACATCTGCACTAGCTACATCCCAGGCTCTACCTGTCAGGCGGCTGACAAGCCCAGCGCCCCAAAGTGATCTCTTCTTCGGTTCTGTTCGTTCATACTGGAATCTCACACGTTTCACATATTCCAACCAGTATGTTGGGTCTTGGGTCACCTTTCCATGCCATTATTGGGGCTTTCTTTTCCAACCTGTAGTCAGTGACGGCCAAAATGGCTCAAACGAATTCCAGTTCAAAGTGGGGTACTTGATCAACAGCAGACACCCACCAAAGATCTCAGCAAAGAAGTAAAAGCGGATTCCCCGGCAACGGCGCTTGGGTAGCTCCGCTACCGCTACCATCAGGCAATGAAGAAAAGATCTTGGATCGAGGCTTCAAGTCTGATGTTTGGATATCCCTTGTATCACAAGATGATCACGCACGATCAAGGATAGACAGGATAAGCACAAGTCCTAGGCCAGCGCACTCAATCACTGATGTTTTCCACGTAGCGCGAGGGGCCATTCATGGCGGCTATTGGCAGAAGGGATCCCTGCGAGTCATATGGGCCGAAGTACCCATGAGATTGAATCAAGCTCCTGAGGCCCATCATCAGATTCCAAAACTGACACTGAGCCGACTCTTCTTTGAACCAACTCGCTGGGCCGCCTTTTCGCTGACAAGCCCGGTCTTTTCTGGGCTACCGCTTGCGTCTGTCAGGTCTTCTATGAATTACCTCTCTCCTCTGGGGCGCGGCTTGGCCGCTCCTTTTCAGGATGGAGCCCGGCTTTTGCCGCCCAGGTGAAGACTACATCGCGGACGGCATGGTGGCGCTGGGTGCGCTCCCCGCCAGCAATGCAACTTCCAGCGTGATGAGAGAGCATGTCCATGATCCCATCACACCGCGGGCACCAACTATCAGCCGGAGCATCTGCCACCCCCAGCCGCAGTCGCAACTCTGCGAGGAATGTGGCTTTCTCCATGCGCGTCTTGCCCGAAGGAATAGCCCCAAGAAAGGCCCGTCCTCCAGGAGAGGCTTCTGACAGCAGCGCTGCTTTGGCAGAAGCGCTGGCAGAACCAAGGTGGGCGGCCCACGAAGCATCATCCAAGCAGGCAGAAAGGGCGCTTTGTTTTAAGGCCATCGCCTTTTCCAGAGGCAAAGCTTGGGCAGGTGGAAGGTGAGCATTGAAAGCCACCAAAGCGTACTGCACTTCCGCACAAGCGACCACATCCGGGCGCGAGAACGCCCCATCCAGCTCTGAAGAAGCCAAGCTGCTTCCCAAAGACGCCAGAAAGGCGGCAGAAGCATGCTCCACACTGGACCGAAGAGCCAGACCAGCGTGCGCGAAGCTGCGCCCCGCCTGGCCCCACGCAGGTGCTTCGAGGTGAAGTCCAGTGAACCCGCCAAAGCAAGTGCGCACCATCTGGTCAAAGGTCGCTAATGCGGCTGCGTGGGGGTGTGCACCGCATGCTATGCACCATGCGCGTGAAGCCGCCACAGGCGCGCAGCAGCCGCAGGGCAACTTGGGGGTCGTCCATCTCGGCAATGGCCTCCAACAAGCGGTTAGCTTTGGAAGCGCGTGCAGCAGTGTGGTCATGGCAGAAAGCGTCGTCCCCAATGGCAGCCCCGAGGAACTCAAAGTTGCGAAGGACCCGACAAGCTCCGTGCCCGTCCAGCAGCAGAGCATGAGGGAGATGAGGCTGCAAAGCCGCCGCACCAGTGGCTCCCACAACAACGGCTTCACACTTGCTGAGGTTCAGGCTGAGCCCGAGGCGAGCCGCCTCTTGTTGGACATGGGCCAAGGCTGCGGACACAGCTGGAATGTCACCTGCCAACACGCCATCATCGAGGTAGAACATGGCAAGGTCGAGGTTGCTCTGGCGAAGTTCCAACGCCAAAGGCTGCAATGCCACAGAAAAAAGCAAAGGACCCAATGGGTCCCCTTGCTGCACCCCGGTCTGAGACTCCAGGCCCAGAGCGCCAAACTGCAGCCGAGTGGGCTGTTGGTAGCACCAAGTAGCAAAGCGCGCTAGAGCGGGGAAGTGGGTGGCAACTGCTCGCAAAGCGACTTTACGGTTGACACAATTGAAGGCATTGGTGAAGTCCAGTTTGACCAAGGCCTTCGAAGAAGCAGCGCTGTGCCGCGCGGTCCAAGCCCGAAGAGCGTGCACCGCTTTCTCAGCACCACCCGAGACCCCCACGCCAACTTGCGCTGGCCAAAAAAACGATCCAGCCTCACTGCGAACCAGGCTCATGAGGCATTTGCCAGCCAGACGACGGAGAAGCTCACCAACGGCGATGGGGCGCACACCGCCATTGGGCTTGGGCAAGGCGACCAAGCCAGCGCCAGCCAGCACCGGAGCGACACTTGGAGGAGCACGGCCTTGGATCAGCAAGTTGACCACGGCGGCCAGGTGCGCCACAACATTGTCACTGCACCCTGTGACGCAAGCTTCCCGGAGGTGTTGTATGCGCAGGCCGGTAGGGCCCGGGGCTGTTTCGGAGGGAAAAGCCCGCAAGCATCGAGCAACCAGCTCCGGTGCGACGTCGGGAGCCAAAGGTAATTCCCCAACAGGCTTCACCGTAGGAGCAGGTGCAGAAGGGTGCAGGGCCTTCAGCGCTGTAGCAGTGGCTGGTGTGAAAGGGCAAAGCCCGTCGGAGAGCAAGGCTGCACAGGCTTTCTTGTCAAACCCTTCTCGCCCCAAGCTCGTCGCCAGGTCCTGGCGCTCTGCTGCAGTCAGTGGCTTCGAAGCCTTGGTGGAAAGCGACTCTTCTCTGAGCAGCCTTGTCTATGAACGAGCTTTTCTCTAAGCTGCATTCTTCTGAAATACATCTCCTTTGAGTTGCTACAAGTACTGCTTCTTCTCTGAGCCCGCCCTGCTCTGAGATTCTCTCCCCCACCTCTTCCCTGAACTACCTCATCATCGAATCGATGCACCCCTTCTCTGACCTAAACCGAGAAACTTGCAAGCTGGACCGCAGGTTCACTGCACTCTTTTCAGCGCTACTCCGTGCTTTGCGCATGTGCTGTCTTGTCAAACCGAGCCAAGCCGAGGTCGCGCTACCACAGTTGTTTTTGGCTGCCTTCCTAGAACAAAGCCTGAGGCCCCAGAAACACACAGCCTCTCCTTGCAGCCCAGTGAGCTACAAATCTCGCAAATTCGTGCGCTTCCTTCTTGCTGAGCAGTAGAGTTGGTGAGCTGAAGTTGTCCATTGACATTTGCCATAGCTCGGAAGTCTTGCATCCAAACTTCCTTTGGGTGAGAATAAAATAGAAGAACCGTACAAAGAACATAAAAATGGGTTCTCAATCATTGAGTCGAACAAGAAGAAGCAACCAGAGTCTAGAACGGATTGAATCTGGGAGGTCAGAACCTTCCATTCCAGCTAAATTAATCCAAGTTGCCGCACCTGCCTCTGAACGCAATCCCTTGGCTTCACTTTGGCCTTCCAAACTTCGATTAATACAGGTAAAAGGGCAAGGATGTTCATGGGGCAACGGGTTGCTCCATCTCTATCTATCTATCTATCTCTCTCTCTCTCTCTACACATTTCTTGCAATTTTGCTTAGTTTGTGCGGTATATCTGTGCCCCTGAAAGTCCCTGAATATGTTGCACCAACAAATGCCCAAAAAAAAAGTCCGTTCGCATTTTTGGACAATCTGCAATGTGGTGCCTGGTGATGTTGGCTCCTGCTCTGTAGATGCCTTGTCTTCCATCGCAAACAATTTGACCACTTGGGCAAGCCAATAGCAAAGGCATAGAAATGGACCGAGGATGACCAAAGGACTTCAAAGAATGTGCCCGCTTTGACTGTGATGTTCATGTCTTGGCATGATGTCCCAAGATATCTCAATGGTTTACTGCGCCTGGACCTCCTTGGGTGAAGGCGCAACTTCCCTTACAGGTGGCAAGTACAGTTATAATACAAAGCAAAGGGGGTTGCAAGAGCAACCCCTACAACTACGTAGCCTAAGTAAGTCTAATTAGTCGACAACTTCTGAGCAACTTGCGGGCAACTTCCAAGCAACTTCTGAGAATCTCACACATGCGACACCTTTCTCGGTGGTGGTGCTTTAGGAGGGGGTGCCGCTTGATCTGGCACACCTAATCACGTAGAAGGCATAGGTTGCATTTCATCGGTGAACTGTTGCTATGCTAAATCATGAAACAGAACGCTGAATGTTTTGAAAGCTGAACGGTGGGATATGGTGGGATGCTTGGCAGTGACAGAGGTGTATTTGCTCGCAGAGACTGGGGAAGAGGCCGCTACCTTTGGTCATCTCCTGGGACTGAAACATCTGAAACTGAAAGAAATTGTAACAAAGATTTAATCGGAGCCAGAGATCTCATGAGTCATGCTAGTGACTGCTAGTATCATGTTTGTTGCAGCTGCATCTTTTTTTTGTGTGTGTGTCTTGCTATTCCTCGGCTCCCAGCCTCAAACTCCTTTCTTGACATTGTTGTAGGCTTGTTGCTTTTGGCCTAGAGGCCAAAACTTGAGAAAACAAGAACATGCTTATCATGGCTTATCTGCTTGGACTTCAAGAATCTAAGTCTCCAGAACTCTGAGAACTCTGAAAACTTTGCACTCTGCAGGGAAATTTGAAAGAGTTTCAACAAAAGTTTCAACAGTACCTTCTCTCCTTTCTTCGTCCTGTAATTCTCTTCGAGCTCGACTCCTGGAGACATCACCATTGCCTGACACATAGTCAGAGTACGCTTTCAAATTCACCGCGATACTGCAATACACTGATTTGATATATCATGATGTTTCTGAGATTCTGTGTGCACATGCAATGTATAAATGCGTATGGGGAGTAAACACACGTATTGTCTGAATTCTGAATAAAGTTGACGCTCACACTTAATACCGCACCTCCATCATTGAGGGTTGCTGCGAAAGGAACTTCTTGAAACCATCCTTGAATTCCACCGAATTTTCCCTGGCAGTGCAGAAGAGGACATCTGATATAAAATGAAATAAGCACACACACATATGTATATATATATACTGTATATATATATATAAATAACTTTATAAACAATATATTTGCTTCAGAATGCTTCGATGCTCCCTGGTCTTGCGCGTCTTGGCTGTGCTTTGACCGCCTCTTGCGCCCTTTCTCACCTTGCGAGGCAGGAAAGTAAAGATAGTCTTGCCGCATAACGGAATTCAACGTCCCGTACAAACGAAAAAATTACGCTTTAAGCAACACGAACGGGATTCTTGTGGGGTCACGCTGTCCGAGCACCTAGATTTCCTAAGAAAAGCTTGGGAAGTGATCCAACACCATTTGCTGAAAACAAATTTGCTGTTCGAGATATGAAAAACCTTTCACCAAGTTTCACACATCCTGAGACATATCCTACCTGCCCAAGCATGTCCAAGCCAGCTATCTTTTCAGGGAAATGGAAAGACTTGTATGCAGATCCAACTCCAGCTTGCTCCGATGCTAGATCTTCAAGGAAATTGCCATCTGTTTTACGGCTGGTTGATGTACTACAGAATATACATGAGAAATCATCGGAATACAGGGAGGGACGAGATGACAATGCACAAGCCCGAAGCTTGGTAGCTGGCGACGAGCAGGTTTCTTCTCAGGCAGTTTTTGCTCTTGAGATACTTCTTCCTGACGGTCCATGCTGTCAAGAGCATTTCCATATCTCCCTTCTTGCAGTCTATCAGAGTCTATCATGCCCAAGAATCAGGAGCAGCATGGAGCAGCAGCTAGCATACAGTAGCATTGAGCAAATTGATAGTCGTGGTATGTAGTGGTCGTAGGTGGTCGTCCCACCCGGTTGTACCAGTTCTCCACAAAGGCAAAAGAAGTCTGCAAGTCAGGTTTGTGGGGAAGAAATGGGAAGAATAAGGGAACCGAAATGAACCGAAAGCAATATCGAGAACATTCAGATTGTCTGACTTGTAAGATCTTATAAGATCTTATAAGGCTTTGCAGCTTTGCACACTCCAATCTCTGCAAGAGTGACCCAGCTCTCCATGAACAGCTGCCTGCTTGCATATGAATGTCGGCGCAGGATTTGGATTTGGAAGTCTATGCACTTGCATAGGCTGGACCTGGCGATAGACTAGGTCGCACATTTGTCCACGGAACAGAGAGATTGCATGATTGCATGATGGAATTCAAGCCAGCTACGAATGCACCATGCTTGCCATCCTTTCCCCAAGCATGCGAAGTCACCAAAATGACATTCCCATCGGAATCATAGGCGTACTGCTTTTTCTTGTCATCCTGCATGGGCACGAACCAAGCTCTGGCATCGTCACGCTTCTCTTGCAGTGATGGTCAGTGATGGTCAGTGCTGGTCAGTTATTGTCACTGTGTTCACTTTAGACAATATTTCTGATTATTTCTCTATTCACATCTGTATATATATATATAATATTACAGTACATGATACGTATATATATATATACTGCAATTATATATATATGTAATTATATATAATTATATATATAGTTATATAATCGTATATATATAATTATATATATACTATGTATATCATATATGTATATATATATACAAGTATGTATATGTATATATAATATTATATTAAATTGTTACATGCACATATGTACATGTCTGTATATAGACATGAATGATCATGCATGTATGATAATGTATGTACAGATAGGATGATATCTGTAGCATTCAGCTGTTTCTCTCCATGTTTTGCTCCTTGATTTGAGCCAACTTTGCTTCTTCAGCCTCGGCGGCCTGCGCAAGACATTTTCGAGGCACAAATCTGCTTTCCCCGACCCCTCAGCGCCCCGCCAGCCATCATAAGCTGTACACATGTAGTGCATCCACGTGCATCCCTATATGCAAGTGTTCGCGTGTGAAAAGACATGCGTGCCCAAAAGGATCCCAAAAGATCCCAAAAGCAATTTCATGTCCATATTGCAAAACAGAATGTATCAACTGCAACTTCCATGAATATGAATCTGAAATAATGAAAAAATGATTTCAAAAGTTGTTGACTAGATTGTTTTTGTCTGTATCTCATTGTAAGACAGTTTTGAATACAATGCAAGGGATTATCGCATGCCATTGTTGGCGTTGTTGATGCTTCCCAACTAAACAAACATCTGACAATGCAGCCTTTAGAGCTTATTGAGTTTGGACTACCAGTTGTCTTATCACTAAATTAACCCTGATCGCATGTCTCCCAACTGCAATACTGGCAATACTGCTACATATTCTACAGTAAAAGATACTATAAGGCTAAGCAGTATAGGCTTGTGGGAGCCGGGAGCCTTCCGTTCAGTGCGAACTTGATCGTCTCTCAGCTTTCGGGCCTCTACAGGGCAAGCTGATACAAGCTGGCCACTCTATGCCAATCTGTCCTATATTTGCTTGGGATGAAAACAATGGATGAGACCGTCCTCACGCTCTTTTAGCTCTCGCAACAAGGCTTCTTCTTCATCTTCCTGTGACAACTTCAAGCAGCTTAGAAAGGATGCAAACAGTGAGCGTTTGGCACTTGAGTTGTGCAGACAGAACTGTCTGCTGGCCTCACGTTCGTCGACTATCGGAATTTGCTGATTTCGTGATGGCTTCTGAACCTGGCACAAGTGAGAAAAGCATCTCTACAGATGGTAAACTCCGTGGTCGAAACAGTAAATTTGACGACCAAGCGCTGCTTATGCTGCCGGCCACAAAGCTGGTGCCCTGCTAATTGCATAAATCCCAAAAATTGGCTCAAAGTTCAAGGAACATTACAGGAAATCGATGGACACCGCCCATATTTGGAATGAACATCAAGTTTTCCTTAAATCGGTCATCTGAATCAAATTGCCAGAGTTCGCAGAGTCTTGTCATACTTTACCACTTTAACATCCCTCCACGCAGAACAGCAACAGGGTGTGGCACCCTAGGCCCTACACGAATCTTGCAACACAATTTGACTGCCTGGATTGATTAGAGCTTGTGCAAGCTGTTCGTAAGCTTTCTTTAAGCTTTGGGATTTGTAGCATGATTGTGAAAAAACATTACCAATTGTCAACCCTGGATGCGAATCTTGCCATTCTAGTAGCTTCAAAAGCTGCACTTCTTGCTGCTCCTTTTGTGGTTGAGTTGCTCGAGCGGACTGACTTTCTTAGTTTGTCCATAAAATTGCGCGAGGTAGACAAAGCAGAGTGGTTCGTCCAACAATGAAACAAGCCGGCCTGGGATTTGAGAGCTTGCAAATGGAAGAGGCAACTTTGGTCTCTCGATGTTGATCTCTAAGGCTCGATGCTGAACAACAATGAACAAAGTACGTTTGCAGAGGCTCGTTGACTCGTTGACTCGTTGATATCATTTGCAGGATTAAAACTGACTATCAGGATGCGCTCAGAAAGAACTACCCCGCTCAAGAACTCTGACAGAGTCCTATCTTTCACCAAGCCTGTGCTGCCCTGTCTTGATGCATGTTTGCAAAGTACCAGTAAAGCCTGCTGTATTTAGTTTGATCTTATTTGTGCGTTGAAACTGAAATATCCACACACACACACATTGTACTACAGTCATCTAATATTCACGTCACTATGATATGCTGACATACCAGCATATTCGATATATTCGTACACAGATACAACTTGAGCTACTGGTATGTCGCAGAATTCAACATGTCTCATATGCTGTATATATATATAAATAAATAATAAATAAATAAATATATAATAAAAATAAATATATATATATAAATAAATGAATGAATAAACAAATATATTCGATATATTTATATACAGTATATATAATTAATTATATAGTCAATTATATATCGAAATCATAGAATCATATACGTCCACAACATAGATGCCAACTCATACGAGTCATACACATCAGAACCAGAATTTGGTCTTCGCCCCCCCCAAAAAATGACAAAAATGTCTGAATCATCTAAATTATCCAAACCTAAACACAGCATTATGAAGAATGCCAAATCGGCTTCATGGGGGCCTCTGACGTCTCGGCATGGGAGTGAACACCGAAACGCGATGGCGACCTGCTACCAGGTACGGACACCTTGGAAAGAGCGTCGAACCACTTTGCAAAGAAATGCACAGATCATGTTGAATTTGTATGAATTTGTAGTATATTATTTTGTAGTCATCTCATCTCTCCCTGCCCTACCGCTTTTCCCTTCTCTCTGACCTGGAAAGACTGAGACAACTGAGTGCCGAACGGAGCCATTGGAAGCCTGGAAGAATTCATCCCCAACAGTCCCCGACCCCCCTGTATGCACATTTGAATACATCGAATGCAAGTGTTGGAAAAACCCGCCGACTCGCATGCAGTGGCAAATACTGGCATAAGAAACAGTGCGCTGCAACATCTGGGGGGCATTAATTTGTGCAGTGGGATAATTATGGATAATTGTAATATTTCTTTTGCAGTATCTAAACCTATGGCCACAGGAAAGGGCCAAGCTTCCTTGCGGGAGGCATTCATCCTCCGTTCTTGATATTTCTCGACATTCCTCAACTATCCCTCCATGATACTCACCAAATCTCAGTTTCGCGCTCGGGAACCAGAGCGACGAACGTGGACGGCCTTTACAACTCTTCAATGAAGCTGGCTTCCATCGAGGTGGTTTGAGGGAAGCATCAGGGAAGCTGATAGATCAAATAATTCAAATCGGTGATGAGTAGGAGATAAGGACCATGGGTTGGAAGGACAAAAAGTAGTTGATAGTAGTTGGGAAGTTAGGAAGCCAGCAACAGTGGGGCACTTCTCACTTTCAGAAATCAGAGAAAAACAAGACAGCAAGCAACAATGAATGAAGATAATGAAAGCTGATTAGAAGAAACAACATGAAACAACCATTGCCAAGCACCTCTGACTCTGACACAGCAAGAAATCACGCACAATCACGCACTGTTGAAAACGGTCTGATTCCAGTAATAATGGTGCCTGACACAAACATACACAAACGCTATATGATTCTACTGTTTGCCCTTTGAAATCTGGTTGAATTAAATTTGATAAAGGTGTCAATCGCCGACAAATAGACAATGGATCCTTCATACTCGCTCATACTCTCACGTTCAGTGTGGACGAATAAAGAACGGGTAAGCATGGCACAGTGGACGCACTCAACACCGCTATGGCCAGTTCCGGAAAACATTAGCAAGCAGTTGACAGTTGCAAAAGTATTGGAGAGTACGGGCATGGAGCTGCAAGCAGTAATGCGAATAAATAGTCCGGACACCTACAGAGCAGTGCTTTGATTCAAACATGTGCTATCCGATCCACGAGCACATGTGCTATCCACGAGCAACACTCAGCGTGCAACTGCAAAAGGTCATTCCAAGTCATCCACAGCAAACTAGGTAGGTGAGAAGAAATATAATTATGCTTATATAATCTTATATAATAGTATATAATAAATTATAATAATATACACATGGTGGAGTTCTTGCAGGCAAAAACATCCCAATGCTCAGTCTCTGCTTGGCTGCCCGACATTTTTTCTGTCATCCTCGGAAAATTCTGGATTTTTTTTGCATGAATGATTTGCAGCAAGAAGTCGTAAGACAGAATGAGGTATTCATCGCCTCTGCGAGGCACTTTCCCGCCAAGGCCGAAATCGTACGTCTTCTGACTTTGTGACACTGTGATTGCATTCCTAATGCATTCCTTGTAAGAAGGTACAGCACCCTGTGCACACCATTCCACGCATTCACCGGATTAGTTGGCTCGCGCGTTCCCACCAACAAATCTCGAAGGCACAGGAAGCTTGTTCCAAGACTTTGCAATATGTTGCAAGAGGTCGCAAGGGGGAGCAGAGTTCCAAAGGTTGCCATTGTAAAGGTCACAGCCCCTGAAAGGTAATTGCTTACTTCTGAAGGATTTCAAGAGACATTGAGATGACAATTCGCATTATGAGGCTGTCGGCAAAGTTTGGCATATGTTGAAAAGATTTGAAAAGACTCCCCCGCAAAGCACTTCAGCTACCTGTTGTGGAGGCTGCGCAGCTAAGGTTGAACCATGGATAATGAGAATGTCCAAATTTTGGAAGCTGTCAATGACAAGCAGACAAGCAAATATCCAAGGAGCTTCCTGCGAACCAGGAGGCATGTTGGCGCTTTAGGAGTCTACGCCAATTGCCAAATTGCCACAGTTTTCTTCAGTTCAGCCAACGAACCAGGCAGAGGCAAACATCTGTCAAAACCACGTGCCGTGTTCTCAGCCAAGTTCTGAGATTCCAGCAGCTTTCCGAAACACTTTTCTAATTGGAACGCACGCGCGTGCCTTGCGTTAGCAAGGATTTCTTACCACGTTGTCAAACATGAATTCAGAAAATGACATATAAAACCTTTTTCAAAAAAACATGTCAGGAGGACCCATGTGTCTATTCGGCTCCGTGGAGGCTCGCTTTCGAGGAGCCAGCCATCTCTTGGGGCCTTGGCAGGAACGGCAGACGTGGCTGCCTTTTGTTGTCTTCACGTGCCTTTGTCAGCGGAACAGCCGTCAGCTTTTTTGACATCATCATCAATTTAGAGAATGGGCATGGCATGATTGACATGCATTGTGGCAGAGCCAGTCAACCACTGTTAGGGATCACGCTAGTTTCTCGTCAGGCGAAACACCAGAGTCGGGTTCACCAGCAGCTTCTTCCGTTTCCCTGCAAGTTGCTGCAGCTCTTGCTGAATCTCAACCTTCTCAGAAGATCTTCAATTTGTCGTCCTATCGATCATTCGGTCTCCTCCCAGGCCTTCTGTCAGCCACTGCTTTGCCAGTCGGACCTCAAAGTAATCTTTAAACACAATTTCTTAATATTTCTCAATATTACATTTTTGCTGATTGATCGACATCGATTGCTTGTTCATGTCTTGAACTCATAGGGTGAAGGAATTGCAGGGAATATGGCAAAACATGACAAAACCATACAATAGAAAACTCTTCCTCTCTGCAACAGAGGAAGAAGACAAGCAACACTGAAAGAAAACACACCTCACTGCTGCGACCGGAGTTACACGTACTGTATCTGCGATGACCCAGTTCGTTTGAGTAAACGAAATGCAAAACAAACGAACGGATTAAGGATCAACCTGAATGATCTTCGATCCAGACCCTGGCATCAAAAAATATCAAAAAGCAAGGCATAGCAAGGCTGTTCTTCAAACCTTTTGAGCTCAAGGCTTGGGCTGAACCTTCCAAACTCAATGCAACCGGATGCAACCGGCGATACCAACTTTGCAGCCAAAATTGGTGAGCTTGGAACGCGACCGTGAAAATCTGTGAAATCTCAGAGTCGCAGAGTGTGATTTCGTTTGACTTAGCCGAGCCATAGCCAGTTAGCCCCAAAAGATGATCTTGGAATCTCTTGGAATCTCTTGGAATTTTGGATCAACTTGGATATTCCGATATTCCTTGGATATTCTCGTGTACTTGGATGATCTTTTGGATCTTTGGACCGCTCAGATCGAGCCGAATCGAGCCGAATCGAGCCAAGCCTCTCGGAAACGGCGGGTGCTGATCCAGGCCGTGGAGCACTTTCCATGAGGCCTGCAGTGCAAAAGAAATCAAAAGAAAGCCTGCAAGAGCAGAGAATCCTCTTTGACAATGGACAAACATGGACAAACACATACAGAAACAATCAAAACAAACACATGTAGATCTGTAACAGTTCTTGGATCTAGAAAGCAATGAGGGAAAGCGGTCTCGTTCACTACTAGTAGCAGTTACGAGGCCAAACAAGATGATTTGCTACGCATGCACATTACACCAAAGACCCCGAAGGAAGAGTGTTGGAGAGTTGTGACTTGGTTGTTTTTCATTGTTTTTCTATGTTTTCGCCCCTGATGTAGCAAGATGTTTGCTGTTATCACTTGCGCTCACATCAGGAGGTGCCACAGCCAGGAGCACAGAAAAGACGCAGAAAATCGCAGAAAGATGCAGGTCCTCCTTTGACATTTAATGTGCATGCCCCAACTACGCAGTGCATGTTCAAGCGCTTCTTACTGGAGGCAAATTACGGTGACGCCGCTCCTGCGTGCATCTGGTTGTGTGACAAGACCGCAAGATCTGCACTGGTTTGCGTGTTTGCGTTTGCTAATGTTTGCTAGCTGCAGCTAGCTGGTCTGGTCTTCAATCAAACATAATCAAACTTTATCCTGGGTTGTTCTGCAAAGTGGCCAGGCCAATAGGCTGGGCATGAAGAGCTAGACATGGTGCACGATTTCTCGCCCGTTGTAAATATGAAAATCCCTGGCAACAACAACAACAGCAACAGCAACAACAACAACAACAGCAACAGCAACAACAGCAACAACAACAACAGCAACAGCAACGGCAACGGCAACAGCAACAACAGCAACGGCAACAACAACACCAACAGCAACAGCAACAGCAACAACAGCAACAGCAACAGCAACAACAACAACAACAACAGCAACAGCAACAGCAACAGCAACAGCAACAACAACAGCAACAACAGCAACAGCAACAGCAGCAGCAAGAACAACAACAACAACAACAACAACAACAACACCAACACCAACACCACGCACTAACCCAACGAAGAGCAGGAACTGACGGCAAGCAAAGCAACCCGTGGCAGGCACCGACAAAGATTAAATAAATAGATAGACGGTAGACGTAAACACTATGCAAACGAAAACAGAGGAAGCTCATGAATTGACCCCAATCATCACAAACAAAAACACTGGGCCATTCCAGGCTTCCAAAAGGACATCAGGTAAAAGCCAGAACAAAAGAGCCCCACGCAGCAGGAACACCTGGAAACAGAATACACAAGCTAAGGAGCCCTTGTGCGCTACATATCACAAATCCACTCCGAAACAGCAGCAACAACATGCAACAACCACATGCAAGAGTCTGCAAGAGGGAATGGCGGCGACTACACGATAAAACTGCGCAACACCAACAACCGGAATGGGTGGTTTCATCTGATTGCATTTAAGGCCTTTTAGGTGACACAGATTTTGCCAATCTGGAAGTTTCATACTTGTGCAGTTCCTCTCGAGTAGAGCCAAAACCTCACCCGTCTTTTGACAGAAAAGCGTGTCATGTCCTTTTGAAGCTTGCACATATCGCAATCTGGTTGTATTGGCACGGGGAATATGCAGCATCTGTCTTTGTTGGCTGGTGCAAATATCTGCCACACAGAAAACTTTGGCTCAGGGTCACTCACAAACAAACAAATTGTTTTGAGCTCCAGGAGATGGTCATCGATGTTCTGTCAAGACTTCGACTTCAAGTACATATATTGCTGCGCCTCTGGTACTGTAAATACTGGCCTGCAAAATGATAGGAGGTGAGGCCAATGGTGTAACATGGTGTAACATGAGGTGTTTCATTCTGTGCACTCCATCTGCTGCCATTCATTGATTTTCCTCCTGCCTCTGAACTGTGAGGTCGAGTCAAATCAGCTTTGGGTTGTGGAGATTGCGGCGTGCCCTTTTTGGACCTAGGATTAATGGCCACATATGGCCACAATATGGCCGCAGCCAAGGTTTCATTGGTCCAAGGTCTTGGCCCGAACGTATTGCCGCAATTTGCCGCACAGTTTGAGCACAAGTTCTGAACTTTTTGTGGTGAAGACATGTTTTCAAAGCCAAGCTTTCCACGGAAGCCGTTCTTCACCACTATCATGGCCTTAAGAGACAAAGCCATGACCAAATGCTGAAACAATGCACCCCAAATGCACTCAAAAACGATTTGTTCTCCTTTGAAGCTGGGAGCTTTGCGAACAAAGCACATTTTCATCTCACCAACAAGCACCTGGAGTTAGAAGCATGTATAATATATATATATATACATATGTATAATATCATGATATATATGATATATTATAATTATAATGCAGACAAGAAATGCAATGGGGGTGGACATCAGCATGGCTGTTACTAAGCAAATGGTGGCATCAATTGTGGCATCGATACTTGCTTAGGTACGTGCAAAACCCATGTAAATCATGTTTGTATAGCATGTGGTGTTGTAATTGAAACTCAATCCCACAGGAATGAATGGTGAACTTCAGCATTTTGTTGCGCCATACGTTACGAGGCCTGGAATTTCCAGCGTAATTCCATGTAATTCCTGCGTACTTAAGTGCGCTCTTTCCATTGTGCTATAGGCAACGCTCCCCTGTTCTTCAAATGCATCATTTGGCATTAGATTTAATCGAAGCACAATTCGCATCAACTCTTGAAGATCCCCAGTTCAGTGATTTCCTTGCAACTTTTTTGTCAGTTTGCTGTTTGCAGTCTCCTTGCCACTTGTTCTTAAATCCTGATCTCGATCTGAAATCAATGCTCCAAAATGTGGCTTCAAACTTCTGTGCTGCAAACTTCTTTTGTCGCTCCAACAAAATCTTCTGGTCTTAACAGGCCTCACATGCAGCATTTGCTGCAAAAGAGAAGGACTTGCGCTCGATGTAGCTGTCATACAGTAATTTGCCTCCTTCTTGAAGAACCTGTGAGCAAACGTTGTCTTTGAAAGCGTGTGCAAAGCAAGAAGAGGTTTGAAATGGTTTTAAGCAAATTGTCAATACTTCTTGTTCAACGCAGGCAGTGCTTCTCCCCACCTTCGCACCCAGATCGAATCTAGTCGAATCTACACTACGAACCACTGCATAAAAATGCAACAAATCCTGCAATAGCTGCAATATCTTGGAAATTCTTGAAATTCTTTCATGCGGTGCTCATGCCAACCTCTCCTGCTCCAGGACCGACTGAGCCGCTATCTCAGCAGCAGAGAAAGGATCCAACAGCTCTGGCTCTGCAAATTCATCCGACATGTCCTGCGTCCTGCGTCCTGCGTCACCGTCAAGTTGCAACTTCTTGCAAATCATTGCATGATGAACACGCGCATGCACGCGCGAAAATTCTGAACACATTTAAACTAATCCAATTCATATGAATTGATGTCCTGTCTCGAACTCAAGAACACCGAATTGCCTTGAGATCATATGACTCTAAAAGAGAGCTGATGGTTGTCAGTCCTTGCTACCTGTTCAACATGTTCGCACAGGCAAAAAAATGGCTGCAAGCCATATCTCAAACACAAAGACTCGCACCGCAAAGAGCCAAGGCAAGCGGTATAAATTCACGTCCCAAGATGTCCCAAGCATCTTCAATAGTTGGATATGTTGGTTTGCGTAGAGACTTTCCTACGGGACAAAGCACTGCGCAGTTGACTGGTGCAGTGTCCTCAAAGTCTCAAGAGTCTCAACTGCTGCTTTTTGCATCTTTTTACTGTGAGTGTCAGTGAGTGTTAGACTTCCGTGCTAGATCCTGCAAGCAGACTTGGACTTACAGTGCATCTTTTACTCCCTGAGAAGAAACTGTTGATCTACACATGTTTACCTACGTAAGCAACAGGTAGGTTCAGTTGTTGTCTGGCCTGCGCCCGAGGTTTTGTCTTAGAATTATCCTATCCATGTTTCAGATCTAGCAGCAGCACCAGCCCCATGGGGCTTGAGATACTTTGCTTTGATATTTCAATGATTGCCAACGATCAAAAGGGACCAAAACTGCCAGCCCAATGGAACTTTAGATTCACAGTGTTATGATCAAAGGGATTATTGGCATTCGCCAGCTTTTCACCTATGGATACCTATGGCAAAAAGATGGCAAACGCTGGCAAAGGCTTTGCAGCGAAAGTGTTTGCAAGTCCGCAAAAACTATTGAGCAAGCGCAATTCACCCTGCTGCTATACTGTACATTCTTTCTGCATTCTACTCTCTTCATCTCTCTTCCTCAAGAAGTGAAGCTGATTTGAGATCAACTAGCTGGGTGAATCACATCCTTGACAGATGGAACAGAAACTACCAATACTATTTGCAACGGACCACCCCAAAGTCAAGAGATAAGGCAAAGTTTAGCTGTGAAGCAAATTAGCTCGGCCATGAGACACGTTTGGCAGTGACCACATTCAAGGCAAAAAAGAAGGGCCATCTTTTGCAATTCACTCGGCGACGTCTCCAGATGACCCCAGGAACAAATTTCTGATCGAAAGGTGTACATTCTGCATGGAAGCGCTCCAAATCAAACAGGCAAAATCTTCAGCGCGTTGAACAACATGAAACCTGACAACCACATCCCATCACAAACCTCATCTTTTTCTCTGTGTTTCTGCAATCTTCTGCTTTAGGGTGAGACCTTCATCGCTTTTCATCATATTCTTGGCGCTTCTTCTGGTCAGACAGCACGCTGTACGCCTCCGCAACTTGTGACAGCTTCCTTTGAAATCTTGGATTACCATACATGAAACCACATAAGATTCAACATGAAACATTTGTATGAAAGGCTAAAACATCACGGAACAGCATGAAACCAAAAACTTTGTTACAGTAAGTGTAAAGTGTAAAGGTCCGCATATTAGCATTGGGTAAAAGATGATAAAAGTCATGAAGTGACTGAGGTGTGGGCACCTTGGGCGAGGCCAACAGTTTGAATTGAAGGTGCAACAGCTATGGGGTAAGAACAACTCGACAACACTAGCAGAACCAACACTTCTAGACACAGAACGCACCCTAGCAATCCCCAGCATACTTAACAACATGCACATACTGGATCATACTGGTAATTGCTGGTACCTATGCTTTAGCATACTTTGGCATCCTGTACCAATGAGATAGCAATGACATAGCAACGACATACAAATGACATGATGGAGACAGTACAAATGTATCGCAGCCGCATTCTTTCATTTCGTTGTTCATTCAATTTTATGCCTTTTCCATATCTTGCTCACAGTCACAGCCTTGTTCAGCTTTTGGAAGGTCTTTGGATCTCCACCCTTCTCTGGATGCGCGGTCATCACCTTTCATTTGCGCTGTGGTATGCTGTGTGCATGTACACATCAATCAATACACAAAAAAACAAACTTGAATAAGAAATTATGGATGGCAAAACTGACCAGACACTGAGCTTGGAGCAAGCTCACGGAACTTTTTTCGAATCTCAGAGCGACATCGCAGAACTTATCGTTGGAGCAATTCTGTCGGTCCAAATCAATCCAAAGCTTGAACAACTTGGAAACATCTGTGAGCCTCTTGTAAGGAAGCAGAAGATGAGACTCGAAGGAGCCCATAAAAGTCCTGAAACCAGGGCTCGCCTTCACTTGCCCCATGCGCTCCCTGCTAACAGTGCCAAAAAAGGCTCTCTCTCGCTCTTTCTCTCGTGCTGATGCTAGGATCTTTTCAGTATCCGCAACGATTCAAATGTCGTATGTGTATGTATGTGTCAGTAATGATGTGCTTTCGACTCAAACTTGCTCTCGCATTGCAAAAGGTCATCTTCCTAACCTCCTCCTCATCTTGCTTTCTGGTTGCCTGCGAGTGAAGCAAGCATTGTTGTTCAACGTGACACAGCAGTGACGTAATCCGTAATCAAAAACATTTTCCAAATGATAAAATTGAATGCGAACAAAAATGAGCGAGATGGCCTCTGCCTGCGATGCGGATGCACTCCTTGCTAAACTGCAAGAAACACATCAAGTTCGCAGCCAAACTACGCGCCGCATAGTCCATCTCCCAGCAACCAGACTGCTTGCAAGAAAGCTTCGTTGCGCTAGACTTTGGAAGGCTGCCTCAAACACTTCTGATGCAGAACTTCACTGTCTGCTGAGAAAACTCTCGGAAGAGTGGCAAGTTATGCAAGTTCCAATCATTCCAATCCTACAGGTAACATTGTTTCCAAGGCGTCAGTTGCCTTTTCGCATTTTACGTTTGTATCCTTTAATCTAGTACCCTGAACGCAGTGACAGCCGGTCCCAAGCGCACCTGGAGCTTGCTGAGTTCGTCCGTTCAATCGCGTTCCATCTGCAAATTCAGCAAAGGGGTCCCGAGCAAAACGGCAACTTGCGCAGGTTGAGAACATTTGAAAACGAAAAGTGACAAAGAACACAGGATTAAGTCAATAAGTCAGAACATGTCAGAACATGTCAGAACTGTGGTCTGCTCCTGGTGCAATGTCTATTACTTCTTCATCGCCATCCTCATCCTCTGCCTCAGCAATCACCAAGTGCGTCGCATTTTCTCAACAAACATTCAAGAACAACCTTTTCGCATGTTTTCTTCTTTCGCATGTTCCGCAGTTCACTACTCTTCAAATTTGATGAGTTTTGATATCTCATGATATTTGTATCCGCAATCCCAGATGGGGCACGAGATGGCTTGAGCATGCTCAATTTGCAGCACTCAAAATACCAGCCTGTGGAAATTGTTGCGCTGGATGGGCAACTCCATCTTGCCTTTTGGCAACTCTAGTTACGTAGTTCATGGCTGCGATTCCCACAAGATATAATAAGTGTCTGAGCAGTGCAAGATGATTCTGTGAAGGGTTGAATGCTATCCAAGCCTTCGAGTGTACTGCGGCTGACCATCCGGCCCAATCGTCCGTTGCCAGTCATCCTGAATAGTGAGGCGGAATCTTTAAGTCAGGCCTTTGCAACAGTAAAACCAACAGAGAAGCATCAACGAGTTGCTGATCAGCATGTCCACACCGCTTTCTTGTGAGCATTCTTAACGACACATGACGCCACACATAGTTGGAGTCCTTTCTATTTCGCAGCAGAAGATATCCCCTCGCACCATATTCGTCCATATTCATCGATATTCTGCAAGTATCTACAAGTGTAAAGTGCCACGATCTGCAAAGTGTGTACTTGAACGCATCTGAAAAGACAGCGCGCCCAGACTGCACAACATCTCACGCACGATTCTGCCATAAAGAGTCGCGATTTGCCTTCCTGCAGACATGACTAACGTTTATCACCAAGGTAGCGGTGACGTCCTAGAGGGCCACAATCTGTATATCTGCTGGGAAGGTGCCATCACTCGAGGCTTTCGGGTCAACACATGAACTGGCGCTTCTCCAAATTTATTTTTGCAAGACTGCGCGCAGCAAAACATGCACATCTGAAGAACTGTTGGGATCATTGTGGCGATTGATGCGTCCTGTCAGGACTGCGTGAGTATCTTTTTACAGAGCTCCGTGAATGATAGCATATCAGGCCAACTATGGCCAACTGATCGTGTGATCTGCAGTTCGAGAACTTGATTTGAACACCGGGAGCCCCCAAAAACATTTTTGAGATATACAGTATCTTGACGGTGTATCAGGTTATGAGCAACACAATACACACGCACACAATGCAGACCGGTTGAGGTAACCTGTAACATCCAAACAACATTTCATTTGCACCATGAGTTGCACGTGTGTTACCGATTTCTGAGCCACTTATCTCATCCTTATCATGTTCGCCCGTGGGCACTTCACATATATAAGACACCATATATATATATTATAATGTGAAGTGTACATCGCATGGCACCACACAAAGCAGTAGGGACAGTTTCCACAAGAATGTTGGAACTGTGGAAGTCAAATGCCACACTCGGTGTTGTTTGTGTATGTTTTTGTAACTAATCAATGAAGGTAGATTGAATGGGGTGCAATTGTGCTGCAAAAAACATCCCTTTCCACGGTATTCCGTAGGGACATGGAAGTTCAGGTTCACCAGCATAGCTTAGTGTATTCACTCAATATGGAAATCATACATACGAGCGCAGACAGAAACAATCATATAACACACATATAAAAATCATATAACAAACATATAACAAACATATAACAAACATATAACAATCATATAACAAACATATAACAAACATATAACAAACATATATTTGAAGTACATCCCGTGTGCAAAATGATTTCCACACCACCTGGACTCGCCTTTCCGTCGAGGAGATCCAGCTCTTCTTGACTCAAAATTGGCTTCGAAACTATACTTTGGATCTTCGCCAGCGAAGTATAAAAGTTTTCCTGCGCGTCAAAGTGCCAATGGACAAATATGATTTACTCTAAGAACCTGTTGTTCAGAAGAAAGCAAATCAAGATCAAATACAACACCGCAAAACGCAAAACGCGCTCTTTCTATACACCATCATCATGACACATGTTCATCTTGTATTCTAACCATCACAACCATGGCCTATCGCCGTGACAACATTACAGCACCATGATCACCAGCATTGCCAACAGAGTCGAATCTTCCTTGGTTCATATGCATCATCGTCGCCATCATCACAATCAGAAGACAAGGATACTCAAAGGAATGAACCAATGCAAGTGCACTGGACTCAACCATGACATACCGATAGATATCTCACAACAATTTTATGAATAGACCATATATATTGGTGCGATGAAAGTGCATAGATATACACAGATTGATCAAGCGCAAGACATATATACCCCGCAGGAGGTACATGCATCACATGTGTGCACATTCATTTTGAACATACATACCCACACCTACATATCTACCTATTTACCTTCGTGCATACATACGTACATACCATATGCAGGCAAGCCAACAAATACACGTTGCATATATATATATAATTTGCCAACAGAGAAAGGTTCCAGCAAGGCTCCAGGACTCTTACGTTTTTTCGGGGCGTGCATTTTCGTGTCAACCAGTCCCCGGCCCTAGAGATTGAAACCCAACAGATTTGCTGCTGTGAATATATACATATATAAACATAATATATATATAATCACATATATATATATATATTTGTTTACAGTATACATACATATATATATGTATAGTACTGCAACATGCAATATTGTCATATATTGTCCATGTATATCTATGTAGTGTCAGATCTTATTCATTGAACATGTCTAAGGCTGCTGTCTCAAGTTTCAATAGATTTAAGTTGTCAATATTATCGAAGGAAGTTTAGAAGTGAAACTTCCGACAATATGGACAGTTGAAAAGCAGAGGTGAGAAGAGTCAGAAGAGACAAGATCAGAAGAAAGAAGATGCAGATGCGTGAAAAGGTAGGAAAGTCGCGAAACACTGTGTTTTTCCAATGATTTGTGGCTCCGGGGTCGAAAAGTAGGCTCGCTAAAGCGGCGGGTGCGGAGCCAGCTGGCCAGATGAGAGATGAAAAATTGCACGCCGTTGTGGCGCGAAGCACATTTCCAAGTCAAATGTACAAAACACATCAAAACACCTCAGCTTCGGACCACTTTTGGAAGTTGAGATGTCGAAAAAGTGCACGCGGTTGTGGCGCGAAGCACATTTCGAGGTCAAAATGTACAAAACACACCAGCTCCGGACCACTTTTGGCAGTTGAGATGTTGAAAAAGTGCACGCGGTTGTGGCGCGAAGCACATTTCGAGGTCAAAATGTACAAAGCACACCAGGTCCGGACCACTTTTGGCAGTTGAGATGTTGAAAAAGTGCACGCGGTTGTGGCGCGAAGCACATTTCGAAGTCAAAATGTACAAAACGCACCAGGTCCGGACCACTTTTGGAAGTTGCGATGTTGAAAAAGTGCACGCCGTTGTGGCGCGAAGCACATTTCGAAGTCAAAATGTACAAAACACACCATGCTCGGACCACTTTTGGAGGTTCAGATGTCGAAAAAGTGTCGAAAAAGTGCACGCCGTTGTGGCGCGAAGCACATTTCGAAGTCAAAAGTGTAAAAAACTGAGTGTTTTGAGTCTTTTTTGACGTGAAGATGTCGAAAAAGTAGACACTGATTAACTTAACTAACTTGACTAACTTAACTAACTTCACTAACTTAACTACCCTAACTGTTAACTTCCACGACAACAGCAACAGCAACAGCAACAGCAACAGCAACAACAACAACAACAACAACAACAACAACAACAACTACAACTACAACTACAACAACTACAACTACAACAACTACAACAACTACACAACAACTACAACTACAACTAGAACTACAACAACAACAGCAACAACAACAACAACAACTACAACTACAAAACAACTACAGCTACAACTATATGACTGCAACTACACTACACTAATTACATTACACCCCAACTACAACTCCACTACGCTACAACTACAACTACAGTTGCAGTACATCACACTACATCCAGCAGTTGTGGGTGAGGTGCCCACTGCAACCATTGCAACCATTCCAGCAAACACAACTCCAACCACCTTTCGGTCAATCAGTGGATTCGCTCTGCCATCCGTGATTCACAACAACCAACCTCTCCTATAGGTTTCCTATTCTGAAACTTCCGCCACCGCCTTGTGCGGTACTACTGGTATATGGATGATTGTAGATTTATAGACTAAAGGCATCATCGAAGGAAGTTTAGAAGTCAAACTTCCGACAATATGGACAGAAGAGCAGGGCAGAGGCAGAGAGAAGAGAAAGATTAGAAGAGAGAAGAGTAGACGAGAAAGGGCAAGAAGAAAGAAGATGCAGATGCGCGAAAAGGTAGGAAAGTCGCGAAACACTGTGTTTTTCCAATGATTTGTGGCTCCGGAGGGTCGAAAAGTAGGCTCGCTAAAGCGGCGGGTGCGGAGCCAGCTGGCCAGATGAGAGATGAAAAATTGCACGCCGTTGTGGCGTGAAGCACATTTCCAAGTCAAAATGTACAAAACACATCAAAACACCTCAGCTTCGGACCACTTTTGGAAGTTGAGATGTCGAAAAAGTGCATGCCGTTGTGGCGCAAAGCACATTTCGAAGTCAAAATGTACAAAACACACCAGCTTCGGACCACTTTTGGAAGTTGAGATGTCGAAAAAGTGCGCGCCGTTGTGGCGCGAAGCACATTTCGAAGTCAAAATGTTAAAAGCATTAGCAGTTCGGACCGCTTTTGGACGCTCAGATGTCGTTCTGCGTGGCAGGCGTGGGACATTTGAAGAGGATCTGCATAGATGCATTTTCCGTGGCAGGCACAGTACACAAGACATGTTCATGAGAGATGTTAGGAGGTCAGGGCGCTGATTTCCTGAGAGGGGTTGCATTTTGGAGCATCAGATCTGTAGGTTTGCTAAGATGATTTTGCGTGACAGGTGCAACACTTCGTATGACCTGGCATCAATTTTTCGTGGCAGGCGCAGTACTTTAGACAGGTGGAGTGGAAAAATCGCAAAACGCATTGGCACGAGGCTGTCAGTGATGCACTCACCTTTCCATTTTTGAAGGAAGTCTCGCAGAATTGTTTTGTTTTTGATGTTGTCAAATTCAAAAATTGAAGAAGTCTCGCAGAATTGCTTCGTTCTGGATGTTGCCAAGGTCCAAAAATGAAGAAGTCTCGCAGAATTGTTTCGTTTTGGACGTTGTTATGGGCAAAAATTAAGGAATTCTCGCAGAATTTCTTCGTTTTTGATCTTGCAGATAGATAGATAGATAGATAGATAGATGGACAGATAGACAGATAGACAGATAGATAGAGAGACAGTTTGATCGATAGACAGATATAGATAGATGGCTAGACAGACAGACAGACAGACAGACAGATAGATAGATAGATGGACAGATAGACAGATAGACAAATAGATAGAGAGACAGCTAGATAAATAGATAGGTAGATAGATAGATAGACAGATAGATACATGGAAAATATAGACAGATAGTTAGATGCCAAGATAGATAGATAAAAATATAGATAGATACAAAGACAGATAGATAGACAGATAGATAGATAGACAGATAGATAGAGAGACAGTTTGATCGGTAGATAGATGGAGAGATAGATAGATAGATGGCTAGACAGACAGATAGATAGATAGATAGATAGATGGACAGATAGACAGATAGACAGATAGACAGACAAACGGATAGACAGACAGACAGACAGACAGACAGACAGACAGACAGACAGATAGATAGATACATAGACAGATAGACAAATAGTTAGATACCAAGATAGATAGATAAATAAACAGATAGATCCATACACAAATTGATAGACAGATTGGCAGATAGACAGATAGATAGACAGTTTGATCGATAGATAGATGGAGAGATAGATAGATGGCTAGACAGATAGATAGATAGATAGATAGGTAGATAGATAGATAGATAGATGGGCAGATAGACAGATAGATAGAGAGACAGTTTGATCGATAGATAGATGGAGAGATAGATAGATGGCTAGACAAATAGATAGATAGATAGATAGATAGATAGATAGGTAGGTAGGTAGGTAGGTTGAAAGTCAGAGAAAGAGAGCAAAAGAGAGAGAGAAAGAGAAAGAGTGAGAGAGATCAAGCACCTTTCAGTCCATCAGTGGCTTCGCTCTGCCATCCCTGATTCACAACAACCAACCTCTCCTATAGGTTTCCTATTTTTGAAACTTCCGCCACAGCCTTGTGCGGTACTACTGGTACAACTCCGAAAAATAATCACTCAGAGAATGGGCAATCGTGGTTTGCCATCTGCAATCAATGCATTCTTGACATGGCCAGTTCGTTTAGATTTGCAGTCCAGGTCTTCCGTTGGAGAGCCAAATCCCAAGCCCACCCACTACTACACACTGTTGGCATGGTGAAAACAGGTCGAAATGATGGAATCAAGACTGTACACAAGCACTCAATCATAGGAGCACAACGAAATACAAATTCAAGATAATTCATAGCTTCTGGGTTTTAAGGTGTTTGAAACTGCTTGCTCCCTTGAAGCAGGCATAATCCGGAACAACATGCAAGAAAGATCATGAACGCGCATTTCCTTCTCATCAGTCATCCAATGATGTATCATCTCGTTGATCTCCTGCAAACTTACTCAAAATTGCTCAGATTTGTGCGGAGGCAAGTGCATGATGGGGGCGAAGCTCGATAAAAATCACGAAAGATTCAACAATTTTTTTTTTCAGTTGTAGGGTTGATTTCAAGCCCACGAAATCGTTCTGCCGATCAAGCTTCGCGATAAGTTTGGAGAGCCTCTCGAATGTGGTGCCCGCAGAGCTTTAGCTCTCGTCCAGGTGCGAACGACAAGGGGTAGTCCTCAGTGCAAAAGCACATCAAAAATAGGCAAACATTGTCGATCTACTCCACAAAAACAGCGCCGTTTACTCGAGACTCAAGAGCAATAACACCAAACACAGTAGAGTAGATGGGCAACCAACTGACGCGTCATAATCCAAACTGTCGGGAGATTTGGCTTGCATGATCATTGCGCAATTTAGAATCACAGTATTCTTGGTGTTGGAGAATATGTTGATTGTTTGATGCAACACATCTTGACTGACCATGTGCATGGCATTTGGGGAGACAGTGGACAGCGGCAGCAGTCTTGATTTCAGCTTGAACTCGCTAAGGCAGAGTTCGAAGACAGATTACTAAGGCAGAGTCTGGCAAGCCAAGCATTTGCAAGCCTTCCTTCATGCCGTTGTATGTCCGGCTGATCATGGCGCTGATTGCCTGCAATGCAAAGCAATTATGAACTGGGCTCGACACGCGGTCCAATCTTCTACAACTATATATCTACAACTATCTAAAACTAATGTCAACAAATACAGTAATTGACTGCATGCTGCATACCCTTGATATCCCTTGATGATTCTTCAGTCATCTGAAAGTCATATGCTGCAATTCTATCAGTGCATGCAGACTCTTGGGTCACAACCTGCTCGCATGCATCATGATCTGGCCGTGACGATCTTGTATCAGTCGGGGCTGGCCTTGGAGCAGCATTCGCAGCAGCATTTGCATCATATCCTGCAAAATCAGCAAAGGATTGAAAAGGTTCTTTTTTGTCGCTCCCGTCCAGTGCTCCCAGGGTCTTCCCCTGTGGTCTTTTGACAACATGTGGCAGTGGATTCTTGTTCTTGTGGTTTTGTGAGGCAAAAACTCTTGACCCCCCTGCCACAAAGGTTTTCTTGCCATGTCAGCCATGTCTTCCTTTGTTCCCAGGCGGGTGCGACGAAGATGCTTCTGTGTCCCTTCGTTCTCTGGTGCCTCCACTTATCCTTCCCTTGTGTTAGTATGTGCTAGTATCGCCCCTATCCGACATTGACAGCCATGTACAGTCATACATCAGCTGCAGTTTGAGGTCCGTGTAATTATCTGCCTCAAGTTGCTTCATCAGCAAACCACTATGCCAGGATTTTGTCCCTGATCGTTTAGCATCATTTTCTCAATTGACAACCACAGCACCACGCTCAGAGCGTCAATGGCGAGAAAGTCTTGAGTGCTTGGTCATGCTACTTTTACAAAGCAACATAATGATGTGCCCTCAAGCCGGATGAGTCCTGGTGGTTTGTAATTCTGAGGTTGCAGCTTCAGATTTCCACCAAAAGACAATCCTTTCCTTGCTGAGTCCCTTAGCGCAAAACGAAGCGATCAAGTGCAGAAAGATGCAGAAAGATGTAGGAAGTGGTTTATTTTATTGATGTTTATTGGAGAATGCGAAGCAATCCACTAATGCAAAGCCATGGGTGGGCTATGCGGCTAGGGGATTGGCTGGAACTAGGCGAAGTCAGGCAAAATTAGGCGGCTACTTTGAGGTTCGTCGCTATAAGTTCACAGTGCAAGCTGAGCCTTGAACTGAGCTTGCTCTCCCTTTTTCCATGTGAATCCTTGACCACCCTGACTCCTCAAACAAAGTTCACAAGGCAGCACGAGGCCACATCGCAGCTACATCGGATTTGAGAGAATTGTTCGTGGACTTTTGCTTATGCTCCTGGGTGCTGGATAGCCCTGACCAAATCCCTTGGCTGTGTTGAATCACAGATCATCACGGAAGTCAGCACTGCACATTCCCAGCTCATGCAGATATGGTCTCCAAAGCGAATCCCACCTTGCAAATCTTGGCATAATCTTCCATGGGGACTAATTATGCAGCTAGTTTTCGAACAAGCTCCCATATGTTCTCATCTTGGCATTCTTGGCATTCTTGGCATTCTTGGCATACTTGCTTCGTTTTGCTTCTGATCGTGCCACTTTTGAAAGCTGGCATGGTAGCACGGAACTCAGATGGTGACCATCGGAGCACCACCATCATTTCCCATGCTTCTCATAGCTCTCCTCTCTTCATGGACCGAACGAAACGGACATGATCTCTGCAGCACTCCCAGCACAAAGCATTGGAGGTGCCACACAAATATCACAAGAATTCACAAGATCAGGAAATTCAACGGGCACGACCCAGTCAGACATCTAGCAACTTGACCTGGGAGACAATCCCTTCCCTTGAACGGTAAGGGCTCTATATGGGGTCCCAAATAAGATCAAGATAGATCAAGCATATAATGAATAGACATGTTTTTTGCATGTAATATTGGGGGAAGGGGTTAAAAGCAACAGGTTCCTGTAACAAGTCGTGAATCATATTCCCTACGCACTACCTGCCAAGGGTAAGCATGGGTTGAAACCACTGCAACCATGTAGAACGGCTTAGTCAACCAATTCAACCACGTCTTTAGCATATGATCATTCCTTTCTTTGTACGGTACCATCCTAGGATGTCCTGGGTCATTGCGTGCTTCTGACTGCGTTTGCTGGCAGCTGATCTTGAAAACAAGTCAGAAGTGCAATATACAAAAATATGTGAGAGTGAGTCTTTTTTCCTGTGTTGAACTGATATGGGGAGCATTGCTGCATAGCCGTTGATGTCCCCACAGTGTGTACAATATGAATGGAATGACTCAGCAATGGGAACAGAGTCTAGAGTTTGGAGTCTAGTTGCAGCGCAGCACTATTTCGACTGTCCTGGCAGCTTCTTCCTTTGACCTTCCAAAGCACATCAAAGTTTCAAACATTTACAAACACTGCCCTGATGCTCAATTCATCTCATGATGTATTTTGAAGATGGTACATTTGAGTCAACTTGTGACTCAGGCCCTTACCTGGTGATGGTTGCCTGCCGAGCCTCTCAACATGTCAAATTGCGGCCAGCCAGAGTCCCTTGAAGTTTAGGCGCTAGGATCATGTTTCATGATGCTTCATGAACTTCATCAGACCTGTGAAATCCCAACTACGGAAAAGCAAGTTATAGACTGTAAACACATGTAAAACAACATGTAAAAAACATGTAAAAAAACCCTTCTTCCGAACCTTTTCCGCTTCGTAGGCTTCTCTTCTTGCTTCCTTAAGGAAGACTGCAGCTGTCAGTGGAATTGCTAGACTCTTTACTTGCGACTTCGGTGACTTCGGTGACTTCGGAGTTTTAGATTATGGCCTCTGAAGCTCTTCTTTCTTCTAAAGCCTCGAAGGCATCAGAACGCAGAGCTAGACAAATATCAAACACTTCCTCCATGAACTTCTTCCAATGTCCTACCGTCCTACTGAGTCCTACTAATGTCTAATATCCTATAATATCCTACAATAATATCATCTTCATTCTTCTTCAGAATTCTCTTCTCTGAGATCAAGGCATCTTGCCTGCGAGTCACGCTATCAAAGCTCTCCTGGCATGGGTCTGTGATGGAATTGGCTGTGATGGAATATTATATATATAGTAACATATATTACATTATATTATATATATTTATACAGTAGATTCTTGGGATTTCTTGTCGTGCTTTCGTGTGTTTCTTGAAGCGAAACCTAAGGCCGGGAAACGGGTGTGTCCCTAACCAATTCCAAGGCTCATGCATTTACTCCGTGCCAATTCAAACAGCCCAACATAGCCCACTAGACCAAAGATCAAGGTCTGCACGTATCAAATAGGTTTATACCGAATTCATCTGTATCCCCTGTATCCCATTATATCCCATTGTATCATATTGTATCCCAATCTCCTATCTCCGTGTGGTTGTTGGGTCTTGTATGTCTGTCTCGTCATGTCTCGTCAGAACTGTGTGAGCCTCAACCTCTCCAGGTTTGACCTCAGTGTAGCCATCATCAAAGAATTTGAGGCGCGTTCTGAGATGGAAACATTCTAGGATTACAACAATATTCCAGGGAGAAGGACGGAGAGAATCCGAGAGAATGCGAGAAAATCCCTAAGAAGTGCGGTGTACCCTCCTCTGCAGTTGGGTTCGGAAAAGAATCCAAACAATGTCACAAAAATCCCTCCGCTTGCATCAGCTTCGATTTGTACAACATGAATAACATGAACTCGTGCACCGATTTGTGCACATGCAGGTAAATTACCTGCATCCATCAAAGTCAAGGCCCCCGTTTTTGTTTTACCCGCAGATACAGAACCAATACAACACTCTGCCTGATGCCTGTTTTGGATATGATGTAGAGGGCGAACAACACAATCATTCTGTGATTTGCTGGGACGCCCAGGTCTGGAGATGAGCAATCTAGCACAACCTAGCCTCTTTTCACTTTTGACATCTTTGCACAAAGTCTTTGCACATGTTTTCAATGGTTTTCACGTTGTTCTTGTTCTCTCTGGTCCTCTCCACCGATCCACCAACTCAACAGTCCGGCAGGGGCCTTCAAGCGTGAAGAGAAAGCCATTGTTTAAGACAGAAAGGGATGTTATATCTGAAAGGGAAACATGAAACATGGTCTTGTTCTCGTATTTGTTCCTCTCTGCTGTCTAGGTTCTCTTCCTTTGCTGTCGTCCGCACACCATCTATGAGGGATGATTTAATGATTTCGTGACCCTTTTCATTTCTGATGTATATTGGTGGTCATGAGCAAGTCGTCTCAAATACGAGTAGGAAAATGTCTTTCATACTTGAGAGCTCAAGCTTCTTCAGTCCTCCCAATGGCACTCTGGCTCACTTCTGTTCCAAGTTTGATTTCAGCTGTACGAAGGTCTGAAAGCTTGAGCAACATAAGGAGTGGAAATGTTGCAGTCTGGAACCTTTATATAAGCGATTTGAACTGCCAAACTAAAAAGTTGCCAGCACATCCCCGCATGATACAGTACCAGTAGATAGCACATGATAGCACAGTATTCCCAGATTTTTAGGAGCTGCGGTTGCTTTGACCGCGTGACTTTCTGCTGGTGAAGTTCGCTTAGGCTACAAGTCTACAAGAGAGAGCAGCCCACATCTCTCACAATGCAGTCTGTTGCCTCGTAGCATCCGTCACTTGGGAAAAGTCCATCCGAATCCATCCGACAAGTTGGAAGGCCCGTTGGCCAAACATGTACAATGTACAGTACGTATGATGTATATACACTCTATATATACATATATACTTACTTATATACTTATTTATTTTTTCATATAAACACAATTAATCATATCTTCATATCTATTATACATGGGGGTTACGCAGTCAGGGAGAAACCAATTTCTGCAAGTGGATTTCTGGTAGTGATAGATTTGCTGCACGGTGAACGGCAGTTCAGCAGCCGGATTTAGAGAAAAAATACTATCAATATGGTGCTCGCTTGAAACATCTTGAAACCAGCCCAACCAGAGCAGGGGTCTGAAAAAATATGAAAGTCGTGAATCTATTGTGAATCTATTGTGAATCTGCAAAAGCCAGACCTCTACCTCCGCTCCATGATCCAGCACGAGGCTGGCAATCTCCTGTCGCTGGGTGGATTGACTCTGCAAAAGATTTGACAATCAATGGGTACATCGTACATCCAAAATATTCAAAGATCATTCAATCGCAAGATAGTACAAGGAGTTTCTCAAAGAGCTACGGAGATGTTCTCCAACTTCTGGAGCCTTCACCTTTGCACAAGACATAGCAAACTCATTGGCAAGGCATTTGGCATTAAAAGTTTATAATTGCAGCTTCACGTTGGCTATCTTCATAAGCAACTAGTATAACAAGGGTTCCAATATGTTCTATGTTCAAATGGTATAGTTTATTTAATATGAATTCAACACCTATTACTGTCCAACAAAAATACTGCAAAGGGCTTGTCCGTATATTGGGCTGCAGCAGCATATGCCAGCGGAGTCTTGTCATACACGTCTGTAGCCTAGAGTTCAGAGGAATACACAACCATCAGGACATGTCTGGACCACAACTGAGAACATGTTTTGGGACAACAGTTGCACAGTGTTGCACATATATCTGACAGTTCGACTCTATTAATTCGGTGCAAGCCTCCACATCTGCTCGAGCTGATATGAGGACTTCACAAGCCTGCCATGTGCTGGAGCAGTGCTTCTGAGCTTGAAAATTCTTTTCAAAAAGTGCAGGGATGTAATACTGCTAGGTAGCAGCAGCAAAATCAAGCAAAACGACAAATGTGGAATCTGTATGAAGCTCTGAGATGTGTCAGTGTAGTAAAACCTCTCTGATGACAGGCCCCCTACGAAAACTTTTTGCGCATGGCCTTCAAGTGACCAGATTTTGCTGCAAGGATCAAAGCTGTACGTCCTTCTGGATCGCAAACCTCAGCTCCGCAGAAACCTCAAGAGAGATATTTTTTTTTGAATGCCTCGATCATGCCCGCTGAAAGCGTCAGCACACCCTGCCTCTAAGCATGCAGGTTCTTTTCTTGTAATCTCTTCGCACTTCTGCGCAGATGCAAGATCAGCCCACCATGATCCACAATGCGTTCTTGCGTTCTGTCGACAACCATTCCAGAGGTTTGGAAAACTCTTTCATGCCTGATCAAGCTCAAGACGTTGAACAGTCAGTCTTCAACACCTAGGGGACCTACTCAAGTCAGGCGACTACTGACAGGGGCAGCTCGCCTCCCACTGGCCTTCGCTTGCAGCTGTTAGCAATGCATCAACCTGGTGATGTACATCTTCAATCATCTTCAATCATCTTCATATAAAGGGCAAAGCCGAGTTGTTCTGATGTCATCTTCAATCATCAATCCTTTGCCTGTGTGCTCGACATCAGGCCAAGTGGATCGAGCACCCACTTTGGGGTGCCAAGAATCTCGGGTGGGACATGGGACTATTAGAATGTCGTCTTTTTGTGGATGTGAAACTGAACCGTCACTGAGGACTTTCGCAGGACACATGGAGGGATTGATAGCGATGGTTGAGATATCTCAGACAAACAAAGGCACCAAATCAATTGCACAGACACGAAGATCACGAAGGTATGCACTCCATTGTATCAATACACCTGGATTTCATGCATATTATATGAAGACAAGGTTTATCCAAGCATGTTTGAGTGCAGCCAAGGCTGGGGAAGATTCTTCCCAGATGCAGCGGTGGACATGCGGGGCAACAAAGCCAAGCCAACATTTGGCTACCGCATTTAGACTCCAGAGGTCAAGTATCCAATTTCATCTGCAGCTTCTTCGGTGTCCTTGATCTGTACCCGCTGGCACGTCTCAGAGTAAAGACTCACAAGACTCACCAGCCTTCAAGCTTACACAAACTGCACATGTCAAGTGTCAAACAGCTAGTCAAAGGTGCTACGTCGTCTTTACCCGAGAAGAAGCACGCTTTACATACAACTCAGAAATAATGAGCGTGAGATCTCATATTGATATAGGAGCACATGTGGCACATTACTTCCATTGAATCTTGCTGCACATTACTTCCATCGTGACAGATTATGAGTCTTAGCTGCTCCTAGCTGCCTCAGCCGGTACCAGTAGGAACAAATCGACGAGGGCTCCTACCAAAGCAGGTAAACGAATATGCAACACATTGCAACACTGAATATCACAGATGCTTTCTTTGGAAGTCCTGTCACAGTCACCGCATCGCTATCTACTATATAAGATTGTATTGCTAATATTGGCTGACCCCACATTTCAGGTTCAAACTCAGCAGCCAAGAATCTCTGACGCAAATGCAATACTTCCTTTTCGGATGTAATTGAATCGAAGATCAGGATTGTAGTGAGTCCAATCCCAAGAGGCAAAGCGGCAAAGTCAGGCTTCATGCCTGAATCTCTGCTGTCTATGCTGCGTAAAAACCATGCTCCTGGATCAGAACCAACCCAATCCAACTATACGATCTATAATCAAAGCTTGTCGTGGCTGGGGGCCACAGTCAGCGACATGATTTTGTCACTGGGAACTGGTGAAAAGACTTCTGTAATCGGCAGCTGTGTATGGCATCAAGATTTCACCAAAGCAATTGGGCATCTTTCGGAAGCGGGCTTCCTTCATATCGGTCAGAAGATTGTCATGATACTTCATCATGTGGAGCTGCCAAATGCAGGCACGGGAAGACATGGGTGGCATCCAAGAACGCTTCCAAGCTCTTTCGCGCTCAATGACTTTGTCCATAGCACCAGGCGCCGGAATCTTCATCTCGCCCTTCAGTAGTTTGGACAGCCACTTGGCTTGCACAGCATGCGTCAAAATGTTGTTGAAGGTTGACACTTCCGATCCGATGAAAGCTACATCTGGCACATGAGGTGGGATGATGTTGCGATAGAGATACAAACCATCTTTCTGGATCGCAAGCTTCTCTTGGATGACTTTATCAAAAATGTCGTAGTTCTTCGCAAAGCCTGTCCCATAGATCACCAAATCTGCAGGCAGCTCAGTTCCATCGGTGAGAAGCACCCCAGTCTCAGTGAACTTGTCAATTGCTCCAGAAACTGCTTTGATTTTACCATCTTGCAGCATGTCGCGGAACTCATAGTTCAAGATTTGACCGCCACTAAAGAGATCGGTGTCAATACCATCCTGAGGCACCATGTTGCTTGGAATCTGGAACTGCCCCCGGAACATCAGCTCGACCACCCTCCACCAAATCCACTTCACTGGTGCACAGGTGCCATGAAACCAACGTGCAACTGGCCCCTCGGCATAGTATGGCTGCAACATCCAATGCCCAAAGCGACTGTAGGTGCCATATTTGAAAGGGACTGCATTCAGCAACAAGCGAGGGACTGGCCAGTGCCAACTCCTGCAAACCAGGGTGCTTGAGACACCTTCTTTGGCTGCAGACACAGCATTGTCAATCGCCGACTTGCCACCGCCAATGATCACAACTTTCTTTCCAGCAGCTTGCTTGCGATCCGTGAACGTGCAGGAGTGCAAAATCTGCCCTTGAAACTTCTGGGAGCCACGAGCCAGCGGCACGTGCGGAGGCCAACCGTACATGCCAGTGGCAATCACCAAAAAGTCGAAGGTTTCTGATTTCTTGGTCCTGTCCCCCGGCTCTGTACTGTGAAATTCCACCTGCCAGCCTCGTTGTTGGCTTCCAAGTGGTTTGACCTCCGTCACAAAGGTCTTGAAACGGACCTTGTCGCGCAAACCGAAAGTCTTGCTGTACATCACGATGTACTCTTGAACTTGAGATCCAGTTGGAAAGTCCTCACAGTTGAAATTCTCTGGATAGGGAAAATCTGGAAATTCAAAGAGTTCCTTTGGCACCTGCAAGCCAAAGTCTGCGTAGTTCTTGCGCCAAACACCACCGACCTCTTCTTCTTTCTCGAACATGGCACATGCAATTCCAATCTCTTGCAAGTGACGAGCGGTTTGAAGGCCCGCGACGCCGGCACCAAGGATGGCCACAGTCTTCACATGACTGAAATCATTCGACACTTGCACCAAATTTCCCTTGGCAATCCTGGCGGCCAAAGTCATTGCCTCCTTGGTTGTGGGGTGAAGCAGTTCATAGATCCCGTTCACAAACTCGTCTTGATCCAAAATGCCATCGTGATCACTATCAATCATTTGGAAGACTCGTCCCAAAATCGCCGGATTCAACAAACTCTGCAGCTCTGCGAATTCTCTGGAAAGGGACTGAGCAGCGCTGTACCAGGGAGTCACTGGCAAGGCACCGTCAATTGCGTGCTGCAGAAAGATCTCCGCAAGCACCTCCTTTTCATTTTGTCCGACATATTTGGAGTTGTCTCTCTTCAGAACTGGCTCGTCATAAACATTCCAGCCCATGCTGACAAGAGAGCTCTAAGAACTTTGCTGTGAGCCTAATACATAATCTTGAGCCAAAATGACAACTCCAATACCACCAGTTTCGTATATATATATACTGCGGAGCCTTGAACTCCATTTGAAATCCATTTGAACTCCTGGACTCTTTGTGTCTACTTTGCGTCATTGTGAGTTTCAAACTTCGTCTTGATTTGGCGGCCTCTTCTTTTGCTCTCAATGCTTGCAAGATTGCAAGATGGGACTGCTCGCTTAGCGCTGGGAAGCTTTAAGTACACGACTACACGTGGCTTCCTGTGTATTCTTGCAAGTTGCATAGCTGTGTTCTGTTCGGGCAGGCTGTTGGTTCTGCATTGTCACGCGAAGCAGCTAAAGAAAACAAAACAGAGAATTAAAGGGAGAGATCTCTATGGTCTCTATGTCAATGTATGTATATATATATAATTATATATATATATTAATAAACATTGAACAATATTATAAAGTCTACGATAGCACATAAATATCTATGATGATTTATGTATATCATGTATAATCATGTGTATAATCGTGCAATGATATGCAATGTATGTGTATTTTGTGTATACGTATACGGGTTGGTCAATGAAAAGTAGCAACAACTGGCAATCGAAGATTTGCTGTCCAGACTTGTGTGGAACCTGGCGCCCCACCAACTTGGACACCGAAGGCACTTTAGCTGCTGGAACTCATGCCAAAGAATCCAAAGAAAAGCAAACAGGAAGGAAGGTCTGGCAGGATGTTGTCCAAAGCTTGAGTCTTGAGTATTCACATGTCTTGATGCTACCCGGCTCACAGCCCACGGCTTTGCAACTCCAAGCTGCGCTCTGTGACCCATGTCACTGTCAACGCGCGTGCCACTTCGGGGGCGCATTCAAAAAGTGCGCAAAAATTATCTCACTCGCTTCTATTGCCTCTCGCTCAACGGCCGTTGCCTGCTGAGGTTGGCACTGCTACATCCATGATGCTCATGGTGCGTCACAATGCGCGGGGAAGTCGTGGTCCACGTCGTGCAACCGGAGAATCAACCTTTGGCGAAGACTTGCCACTGAGCCGAGCCCAATCCATCTGGTCCCAGGTGCCAAGATGAACATTAGCTTCTTGGAGGGTGTGATGAGATGTATGTTCCCCATGAAAGCTCCTCAAGATCAGGTTGCAAACCTTTTTTTGGATGTGGCTAGAATTTGTAGGAGTATGAGTATGAGTATCGAAAGTTGGTCACTGTATATAATATTATGTATATAATATCCTAGAACTTTATCATCCTGTTCCGTTCTGCTCGAACCAGTGTAAGTGCAAGCGACCCTCACATTTCTTGCATGCCTTTTGCGCAGGTATCTCTTGACATCTCTTGACAATTGATTCATATTGATTCTAGGTCTGCATAGTCTGCATGCTGCAAATGTTCGGCCCTATCTGTGAATGATCTCAAGGGGAAAAGTTGCAAGTCATAGGCGGTACTCAATTCACATCATCATTCTTTTGTAAATTCTTTTGTATGATATTGATTGATATTGTACCCATTTTAATAAAATGCTCAGCTAAGAAGGAGGACATAGAAAGGCATGATCAAATACCGGGAAAATGTGGCGAGCCAAACGCAACCACAGTCAAACCAACTAAGTGGTGGACAGGTGAGACACCGGCTGCATCTGGTGCTGTGCTTTTGGCTGCCTGGAATTGTGCAAGGTCTAAGAGAAGTAGCAAGTGTAAAACGACTTGAATTTGATGCAACTGTAGTAGTTTAAGTAGTGTAATGTATTATAGTGCTGCGGAAATAACCAGCGCCTGGGACTGCTTCAATAATGTTTTGTAGTCCTCAATGTGGCTGCTGAGGTTTGCCTTGGGCCTGCACAAATTTTGGCAAGACAAGCTGCGACAAGCTGCGACAAGCCACTATAGGACACAACCACATTCAGCAAAAACGCGGCATGGAACCTGTTTGAACACTTTTTACTTATTTTGACAAGCCATCGATTGTATCTCATCTAAGATCTCTGAGGGCCAAACACTGCTCCGGTTTCTTTTAGAATTGTCTTGACTCTCTTCATACAGAAGTAGCCTTGGCGATCGGACAGTGCGCACACAACGGAGCGCATGGGCCAGGCTCAAGTAGCTGCGTCTGCAAGCTGAGCAGTTTGACGCAACGCAATGGATGCGGCCGTCGGCCTGCCCAAAGTCACAGTCGTTCGGTGCAGTTCAATTCCAAGGCTATCCACATTGTAGGCATTGTATAGTGAATTATTAGTGAATTATAGTGATGGTCCAGCTACTATACGTCACTATACGTCACTATACCGTGCTTAAGGCCTGCAATGTGTTATGATGTTTTATGCGATGGCCTCTGCATGAAATCCGGACGCACTAGCTCTGGCCTTGGCTTGGCTTCTGAGAAAAACTCCCGGCCAAAACATAGCAGCATAGCACAGCAGGGAAGAATTACATTGAATTTCCTGACGTGAAATCTTAAAACAACATACTATAAATATCTATAAATTGAAATAAAACATGTGGACTTTGGGAATGCCTTCTTGCGATGCTCGTTTCCATGACTGTAGGACTATTATGGACAACCTGGGAGTCAGGGCATCCACTCAAAAAGCGTTGCAGCAGGTTGCTTGATGGGGTTTGGTGCAAAGTAATCTGAGTTCCCACAAACTCTTTGGCTGGCAGCCAACATGTTTTCCGAGCAAAACCACATTCATGAATGCTCCTACTTTGCATGCTGTGCTGAAACTGCAGTTTCAGCACCATGAGCGTTCAGGATGGGATAAGTCTTTAGCAATCCAAACTGGCATGCCAATGCCATGAGCGGCCAGCACTCCCCTCTTTCCAGGACCTGGTCTTTCACCTCTACGTTGTTCAGTTCAACTGACTCTGACACATGTGATGCGCAACAAGAATGCTCCGTAAATACGTACTGAGTTACTAGACTCTTACTAGACTAAGTCCCGCAAGTTTATGATAGTCTATGTATCCCAGACCAACACAAACTCAAGCAGTAGAACTGTAAATTCCCTGTCCATGCCAGTCCCTACAAGATTGAGCAATCATAAGCTCCAGATTAACTTACAAACATGATGCACATCAAACACTGGGAATTATTGAACACATGTTTGTTCTACGAGCATCACGGAGTTCTCCCTCTTCCTCTCTCTATGGGCAACGTCAGATAGCTAAGCTGAGGCCCGCACAGAGATCCGGCAAGCTCAACTGCGGCTGCACTGGATGTAGATGAACAACCTTCTTGAAACACTTGAAACAATATCAGACCAAGCGATGCTGCACTTGTTGGTGTTCACCAAAATCAAACGGCAGGACAAGAAGATTTGTCAAGCTTCAATCGGATCAAGTCTGCTCATGTGAACATTGAAGTTTGAGACGGGAAGTTTGTGTTTCTGAGGGCGAAGCGTATTTGGTTGAGAGTAGACAGTGCAACCAATGCGTAATTGGTCCTTTGGAATGCAACTCTTCACTTCTCACCATCTGAAGCCCTTATCTTGTAGATTCATACAGTAGTGACCGAAGCAGCAAGAAGATCTGCCTTGGTTGTGCCATCATGTGCCAAGAAGTAAGGCTGCGACGCACCATTGGTGGGAGCAGCCATGGACGGGTCGAAAGCACGCGCATGTTCCTCGAGGCATCAGAGCATTGTAATTCCATGATTGCACCTGCAGTACAACTACAAGTAATTAATAGTAATTACATTCCCTGCAGTGGGGCACAGCAAGGACGACACAATGTGACACAAGACCGTACAAAACCGATCAAATTTGTACAAAATCTGGAGGACAAACACGCAAACAGGAAAGTCCGCACGAACATGAAACAGGGAAACAGGGAAACCTTGAACATCCTGAAGGATCCCAAACATGGCCTCGAAGCTGAACCATCACAGAATGATTGCGTTCCCAGGGAACAAACATGAACAAACAAATCCAAAATCCTACAAACTCTTTGGCAACTCTTTGGCAGCTCTTGGTTTTTGCTATCGCCATTCCTTACAGTCCTGTGCTTCTGCCATGCTCTGCACCTCCGGAAAAAGAGGATGAAACCTCAGCTACGTGGAACATGAGTTGTGTGACACTTCAGCACCAGGGGATGTGGCCTAAAAAATCCTAAAAACATCTTCAGAGACTGAGGGTTTTGCGTGAGCACTTCAAAGAAGGAAGCGCCAACCTCGAGTCGACATCACCAAAGTACTGAAGAGCAAAACACGGCCGTCAAAAAAATCATCAATAGTCAAATATTGTCAAACTATGTCAAATGTCTGAGACTTTATGAGACTGTGACGCACCAAATGTCCGAGGCTGCCAGGTGAGTCTCCTCACAGGACTCTCAGACTTTGTCAATTTCGTCTCTTTACGTTGAGACTAGTTGAGATAGTGATATATAGATCCTGACGGTAGGTGACATCTTGTGACATAATGCGATCGTAACACAAAAAACATGTACAAGAATTACAAGAAAGGTTCCACATTGTTTCATCAAATGCTGTACATCTGAGAAAGGAACCAACATGACCAACATGCGCAACATGATCCACCCCTTAATCAATTCCAAAATATGCCAACAACTCCTCGAATCCTGCCTCTCCATGCATGGACAAAAATCAGCCATATTGATACTATTTGATACTTATCGGATCTTTTTCCTGAGCGCGTCTGAGCGAAGGGTTTTTCTAATAGTAGGGGTCTGTCAAACATTTTCACATTTTCACATCTTCTCATCTTCACATCACATCTTCAATTCTCACATCATATCATCCTCACATCTTCACATCTTCACATCTTCTCATGTTCACATCTTCTCATCTTCACATTTTCTCATCTTCACATCACCACTCTACATCTTCTCATCTTCACAGCTTCACATCCTCACGTCTTCAAATCCTCACATCTTCACATTTTCTCATCTTCACATCACATCTTCACACCTTCTTATCTTCACATCTTCTCATCTTCACATCTTCACATCCTCACATGTTCACATCCTCACATGTTCACATCTTCTCATCCTCACATCTTCTCATCTTCTCAT